CGGTGGAGCACTTTAAACATATTCAATTGATTTTTTCTCATCACCCACAAAACAAGCTCTTGCCCGTGATGCTTCGTCCTTTGTCGAAAGGCGGACCTTATTATCACAGTTCACGAGATTGCTTTCAAATGTCAAGAGTCATCTGCCGCCTACTTGCTATCATTTGTCACAGAGGAAAGCCTAGAGACGGCGTCGGTGCCTCGGGCCGGTGAGTGTATGCTCGCAGAGTCAAATGTATGTTTCATGCAAGGTTCATGGAGTACTCTAAACACGCTCACTCTTCTATGCATGGTTAGCGCTGTTAAAGGGTAACGTTGGTGTACATGCAGTTTGTATGATTGCTATTCGAAAAGCGTGAAATTGCAGGCCTGCGTTATCAGAGCTGTATCAGTTCACTAGGACTCAGCTCATTAGTGCTCCTTCCTCATTTGTCTGACAGGGCCTTTTGAGTCATCCCTGGGTGGCCCGTACCAGGAATAAGCATCATTCAGAACCCCCTGCTGGATTTAAAGCCTGTGGAAACCTTCAGATTTGTTGATCATTAATGGTTGAAGGTCTGACTGTACATTATGTGTCCACTTTATTAAAAACCCTTAAAGACCTTATGATTTAAAGCTTTACAAGATTTAAAACAGATGCGCTACAGTCTGTGACTGTACACTTATACAGTAGAGATATAAGGTGTTTCTAATAAAGTGGCCAGTGAGTGGAATCACTAGGTAGGTGTTTCTAATAAATTGGCCAGTTAGTATGAGTACAAGGTAGGTGTTTCTAATAAAGTGGCCAGTGAGTGGAAGCACAAGGGAGGTGTTTCTAATAAAGTGGTGGTCTGATGATACACGGCCCGGTGGACGACTTGTGGGTCAGTGCACATCATTTTAATGTTCACTTATTTATTTCACTGTAAACTAATAACAGCTTTTCCATATACACTTTCACCCAGCAGAGATTATGCAGCTTTAAGGGGGATGTAAAGAACATGATGGAGTTTAGGAGTGCTTGTCATCCAAAGATGGATTAAGAAAATCATCCTGCTTATCAGCAGTGGTGCAGTTTATCTGAGCGGTACAGATTTATATACAGCAATAAAAATCCTCAGCATAATACAGACATTTCTCACTTCCTTTACCTGTAGCACATATACACACATACACTGATCAGCCATAGCATTCTGGCCACCTCCTTGTTTCTGCGCTCGTTGTCCATTTTATCAGCTCCACTTACTATATAGGTGCACTTTGTAGTTCTACAGTTACAGACTGTAGTCCATCTGTTTCTCTGATACTTTGTTAGCCCCCTTTTACCCTGTTCTTCAGTGGTCAGGACCCCCATGGACCCCCACAGAGCAGGTACTATTTGGGTGGTGGGTCATTCTCAGCACTGCAGTAACACTGACGTGGTGGTGGTGTGTTAGTGTGTGTTGTGCTGGTACGAGTGGATCAGACACAGCAGTGCTGCTGGAGTTTTTAAACACTGTGTCCACTCACTGTCCACTCTATTAGACACTCCTACCTTGTCAGTCCACCTTGTAGATGTAAAGTCAGAGGCGATAGCTCATCTGCTGCTGGACAGTTTGTGTTGGTCATCCTCTAGTCCTTCATCAGTGGTCACAGGACACTGCCCACAGGACACTGTTGGCTGGATATTTCTGGTTGGTGGACTATTCTCAGTCCAGCAGTGACACTGAGGTGTTAAAAAACTCCAGCAGCACTGCTGTGTCTGATCCACTCAGACCAGCGCAACACACACTAACACACACCATGCAGTGTTAACTGCAGTGCTGAGAATGATCCACCACCCAAATAGTACCTGCTCTGTGAGGGTCCATGGGGGTCCTGACCACTGAAGAACAGGGTAAAAGGGGGCTAACAAAGTATCAGAGAAACAGATGGACTACAGTCTGTAACTGTAGAACTACAAAGTGCACCTATATAGTAAGTGGAGCTGATAAAACTGGACAATGAGCGTAGAAACAAGGAGGTGGACTTAACAGTAGTATGTTACGTGAGGACTCAAACAATAACAGAATAATAATAATGATGGTGATATCACCATCGTAGTTGTCCGTAATAAACTACTGAATACATCTGTCAGTAGCGCCAAACAAAAATGAATAAATTAATTAAAATATTATGAAGACTGTTCTATCAGATATAATCACATGCAACACACACTTTTCTGGGTTCAAGTTGGCCCCAAGACACACACACACACACACACACACACACACTCCACGGCGTCACCCAGAGTTCCCTGCGGCAGTTTGGGGATGACATCACGCAGCATGACTCTCATGTGCTAAAAGTGCTATTCTGCTATAAAAACATGCAAAAACAACCGGCCTGTTTTCCTTTGCTGCCCTTTTTTAAAGCGCTGCCCCCAGGCAAGGTCAGCACTCGTAAAACAGAAGCACGAGATTAATTAGCTCTGAATTCCTGCCTGTTTCACCACAGCACAATTAAAGCGTTCAGCATGGGTCCAGTGGGACCAGTAAGGACGTTACGAGACGGTGTCTGGCAAATTCTTCCCCTTTTTTTTTTAAAGGACTTATATCACAAATTTGAAGAAGTATGTAAACATTGTTAAAATTGCAAAACGTGTGTAAACTAAGCTGCAAAAACAGCCCATTTTGAATTCATCGTGGTTATGATGTCACAACCATGAACACCCTGGCCTCTCAGCTCACTGCAGTTTAGTCCTGCCTGTTCACCTGCAGTTTAGCTCCGCCCATTTAGTCTTCAGCTATTTAACTCCACCCATTCACCTACACTTTAGCCCCACCCATAGAGTGTATAGCAATTCAGCTCCATCCATTCAGCCGATAGCAATTTAGCCCAACCCATTCTACCTGAGGCAGTTTAACTTTACCCTTTAGCATGCAGTTTAGCCCCACCTATATAGCCTAGAACAGTTTAGCCCCGCCTATTTAGCCTACAGCAGTTTAGCCCCGCCCATTCCTACTGAAGTGATATGGAGTGTTGTTACTGCAGACAGCCTGTAGCAGTTATTGCAGTGGAACTTGTGGGGAAACAATTAAACGTTGTGCTGTTCCTGGCTGTCGGGAAGCAAACGGATCATGACAGCCTTCCAAAGGATCCACACATCCAAAAGGATTATCGGAAGTTTACTTTTCCCGGCCCTGAAGATTTCAGTCCCAACTAAGCAGCTTGTTCCATATTTCAGCCCGGACTGCTCTCCGGATAAGGCACAGTACAAGGGCAGCCAATCAGAACAGAGCTCATTTACATATATCAACGGCTCAGTAATAAAAACAGCCTGTTTAACTCTACGGGATAAAGGGAGGTTGGCTGAGTAAAAAATGAATTAGAACTGTTTTTCATACATGAACCAACTCAATCATTATAATTAGATTTCAGAGAAAAAAAAATACAAGAAAAATGTGGAATTTGGACCCTTTAAGCAGAATAACATATAAGTTTCTCACCGAACAGCCGGACTGGTCATCCTCAGGGTCATGAGGAGTGTGGCGGAGTCTTTTCAAATTAGGATCATTAACAGAACCTACAGGCTTTTATCCAGCGCCACAGACTGAAGAGAAATGGATCGACTTCATTAAATGAAGCCTTTTGAAGGTCTTGGTTCTCTTATGTAACTTTTTTTTGTAATGAATGGGGGAATTAAGCATGTAGCGGCTAATTGGAGGCCAGATGATTAGCATAGAAATGGCTTTTCTACCTCCCCGGCTCCGCATCATTATTATGGCTGTCCCTGTAGACCGAGGGTCCGTTTCTTTAGTGACGGATCTGGACAGCAGCGTAAGAGCAGAGACGCTCCGGGCAGGCGAGCGCTCTGCTAATTAAAATGACCAACGGCAGAGATCATCACTGAATAAACACCGCTAAACATTCATTAATTCAAAAGCGCATTCAGATGGATTAACAGAGATCAAATACAATCACAAAACAACTTTCTGTGCATTTTAGATAAACAACCTGGCACCTGACGAACGATGTTGTATGAGTAAAATTACTAAATATAATAATAATAATGATAATAAACTCAATGTTAGTATTGTAATTGGTACAGAATGAAAAGAGAATGGAAATGAAAATGAGAAAAGGTTTAATTAACCCTTTGAATTCTAGGCTAATTACACAGTTATATATTGCCCAGTAACTACTATGAATTATTCTGTACCTTTGATGGATTTATCAATATCTACTATGAATTACTTAGTGACTGCTACGAATTAGTAATAACTACGAATGAATAACTACTGCAAATTATTCTGTATCTTCTATGAATTATTTAGTAATTACTATAAATTATCCACTATGAATTATTAAGTATCTACTATGAATTATTTAGTAACTACTATGTATTATTTATTAATTACTATAAATTACTAAATACCTACTGTAATTAATGACTATTATGAATTATTCAATACCTATTATGAATTACTCAGTATCCACTATAAATTATTCAGTATCTACTATAAATTATTCAGTATCCACTGTGAATTATTCAGTATCTACTACAAATTATTAAGCATCCACTGTGAACTATTCAGTATATACATATACATATACATCATCTAAACCGCTTATCCCTCTGGGTCGCGGTGGGGTGCTGGAGCCAATCCCAGCTGTCATTGGGCGGAAGGCAGGATACACCCTGGACAGGTCGCCAGTCCATCGCAGGGCAGATTATTCAGTATCCACTGTGAATTATTTAGTTACTACTATGAATTATTCAGTATCCACTATGAATTATTCAGTATGCACTATCAATTATTCAGTATCTACTGTGAATTATTTAGTATCTACTATGCATTGCTCATTATCTACTATGAAATATTCATAATTTACTATAAATCATTGAGTTGTTAGTATGAAACTGATGTGTACGTTCTGTACTTGTGAGGAGCTGAAATGTGGACCCACATTCAGACCCTTAGAGTTTAGGGGTTTAAACTAGAAGAAGCACAGAACACTTCATAACAATGCGTTTAATTTTCCTTTTTTATTTGACTTTTTTCTGTACTCCTCTGTAACGGAAGTCACAAGGTCAGAGGTGACCGTTTCTGGTCACTGTAATTGATGAGATCTGCTCTACTTCAGCGCGAGTATGGAGTCGTAGATTTTTCCGGTTTTGTGGACATGGACTGTGGTAAATCCGGCTTTGGTCAGCAGGGCGGCGTATTCGGAACCTTTCCGCTCGCGGCCCTCAGTCTGCACCAGCATGTTGAGGGAGTAGAGCTGAGTGGTCAGGGGTCCACTGTTATCTTCAGAGAGGAGAGCTTCAACCAGCAAAACACCTCCACCTACACACACACAGGGAGCAGAGCTGAAGAGTCAGGAGGCCGATCAAGGGGTTTGGGAGGGGGTCCGTGTTTTGTTTATTGTTTTTTTGACAGTATAGCTTATTATTACTACAGTATCACTATTACATACTGTTAAGAAGAAAACACAGTTTTTATTTCACACCCTCACCGTGTGTCCTATTTGCTCACTGCTGCTACTCTTTGCTTCTCTAGATGCACTTTTTGTTGCCAGTCATGAACGTCATTAAATAGAAATGTTTAACCCCTTAAAACCTCTGGCTTACTGCATTCTAAGGCTTATTATTCAGTATCTACAGGGACTTTAGTGCAAACTGGCTGAGCTGTTCTTAGGTTATAGAAGTGTGTAATAAAACTTTGGACCCTGTCCATTTAAGGAGTTAACACAGAAGCATTTTAATCCCCTTTCGGAGTCACTTCATGAGCCATTCGGGTTCATAACATTTGATATCTTCTTTAGTATTACAGACATTTTTCAGCCACACAAAGTCCATCTCAAATATTACCAATAAAACCTGTAGCAACATCAAATCTTGGCTATGATCAAATCTGATCTGATCTCATATGAACACTACATACATCAATTTAATATAAAGCTTATTTTTAAATATTTTACTTAGTTTTAACCAAAAAAATGACAAGAAAGCCCATTTCCAAAAAAGTTGGGACGCTGTGCAGAATGTAAATGAAATTATAATGCATTGATATGCAAATGAACATATCAAATGTTGAAACTGAGAAATTTTGTTGTTTTTTGAAAATATATGCCTGTTTTGAATTTGATGCCAACAACACGTTCCAAAAAAGTTGGGACGGGGGCCTGTTTACCACTGTGTTTCATCACCTCTACTTTAACAACACTCTGTAAGCGTTTGGGAACTGAGAAGACACTGCTGTAGATTAGAAAGTGAAATGTTTTCCTGTTCTTGTTTGATACAGGATTTCAGCTGATCAACAGTTCAGCGTCTCATTTTTCATATTTTCCATTTCATAAAACACCAAATGTTATCAGTGGTGACAGTTCTGGACTGCAGGCAGGTCAGTTTAGCACCTGGACTCTTTTAATATGGAGCAATGCTGCTGTAATACATGCAGAATGTGGTTTGATATTGTCTTGCTGAAATAATCAAGGCCCTCCCTGAAAAAGACGTTGTCTGGATGGCAGCATATGTTGCCAAAACATGTATATAACATTCAGCATTAATGGTGTCTTCACAGCAGTCCATGTCACCCATGCCATGTGCACTAATGCCCCCCTATACCATCATGAATACTGGCTTTTGAACTGTGCACTGATAACAAGCTGAGTGGTCTTTAGCCCGGAGGACACAGTGTCCATGATTTCCAAAAAGAATTTCAAATGTTGATTTGTTGGACCACAGGACACTTTTCTACTTCACCTCAGTCCATTTTAAATGAGCTCAGGCCCAGAGAAGGTGGCAGCATTTCTGAATCCTGTTTATATCTGGTTTCTTCTTTGTATTTTACAGTTTTAACTTGCATTTGTAGACTCAGTGATGAACTGTTTTCACAGACAGTGGTTTTCAGAAGTGTTTCTGAGCCCATGCAGTGATTTCCACTACAGAATCATGTATGATACAGAATGTAGAGGGACACACGAATCCACCAGTTCCACACGGTGAGAGGCAGATGACGTGTGTCTCAGCCCCTTTTCATAGGCTCATAACTCCGGATGTGAGTCTCATATGATCTCGTGATAAGATGGAATGGAAAGGGCGACTCTACAGATTCAGGAAGTGTTTGAACTGGATTTCTGTGCTGGATCATCACAAAGATACAGACACAGATATAGAGACAGAGGATTGGATGCATGGGCGAGTTTGTGGACGCCAGAGGGTTAATGTTTGGACAAGTCTCCAGGAAATGAATGGAGGTCTATGTAATGGCCCCACAGTTCACAGAAACAACATTGTGTGTGTGTGTGTGTGTGTTTGTGTGTGTGTGTTTGTGTGTGTGTGTGTGTGTGTGTGTTTGTGTACCTGGGTTGCAGGATTGGTGAATTTTGGTGAGCAGCTCTACATTCCTCTCGTCTGTCCAGTCATGCAGGATCCTTGCTAGGATGTAGAGGTCAGCTTCTGGCAGACTGTCCTTAAAGAAATCTCCTGCAGGACACACACACACACACACACACACACACACACACACACACACACACACACACACACACACACACAAACACACACACACACACACACAGAAAGCCTGTCAGTTAGAAATGGAAGTCTGCCTCAGACCCTCACATCAACACATTACTCTTTATTCTTATTAGTCGCTCAGTTATTCAACGTCTAATGAGATGACCAGCACAGAGGTCAGTTATTACTGTATTACTGAACAAATGAAAATATTATACAGCTATAGCTGCGTAAATAATTACAAATACACTGTTCAAAAGTTTGGAATCAACGTTTTCAAAAATATAAAACCAACGTTGTTTTCAGATACATGAATAAAATAAATTGAGTGTGTTTGTTCTGTGCAGCTTCACAGGTTTCAAATAATTCATATAAAAGTGTAAATAAAATGAAGAAATGTTAGATAAACAGAGCTGATGATTCAAAAATGACCAGAAAAGCTGTAGAACATGAAAAATATTAATAAAGGTTTTAAATAAAATTAACATCCAGAATTAATTTCTAATATAATGCCTCTAAATCTAAATTCCTGAAATATTAAATAAAACATCTAAAAAATACCTTTTGATTTCGAGTTTATAAGATTTATATGTACATTATATGTTCATAGTAAATACAATAACAGAAAAAAATAATGTGATTCCAAACTTTTGGTAAATTTGGTAACTTTTGGCTCTTCACTCCTGACTTTTTTCTGTTTATTTCAGCATCAAAAATGACAAAAACAGAGCAAAACTATAAAAGTTGTCTTTTCTTTTGGCAAAACAAGACTGTACACTGCGAAAAACAGTATCTTATCAAGTAAAATGATCTTAAATCTAGCCGATAAATCCAATATTTCTCCTGTTGAGATTGTTGTAAGCTTAATTTTAATTATCTTAATTTAAGATTATTTAACTTATTTCCAAACATTTTTTACTTGTTTTAACTGGTTTAATTAAGTAAAATTATCTCACTATATTGGCAGATGATTTTGCTTGTTGTAAGAAATGAGCTTGAAACCAGCACAATGAGATAATTTTACTTAATTAAATTACTTAAAACTGGTGAAAAATCTAGAAATAAGCTAAATAATCTTATAATAAGTACACAACCATCTCAAAATAAGAAATATTACACATTTTGACTAAAATTTCACTTTACAAGATACTATTTTTTTCAGTGAACACACAACAATGAAATTTCCTCAAATTCACATCATAATAAAATATCTCCTCTTCCTTTCAAACACAAAAATGTTATTCCACACAATTTCTCTACTTATTTCATTAAAGCTGTCGACTTTATCACCAGCTGGTTAACACTGGCATAAGTTTCTCTCTGCTAGCACTATTACTCCTCCTGACCCCTTGGTGGCGCTCCTACCTTCATGGAAACTGATCCGGTCGTCTGAGAGGAAGTGCTCTCGGCTCATGTGCACGACCTTCGGGAGGTCGAAGATGGTGACGGTGCAGTCGGGGTAGATCTGCACACACTGCCTCGCCAGCGCTCCACTACAGCCTGAGAAAAAGACACCAACAGCACTGAGAACAGACTGAAATCAGGGCAGTGTTTTCTGAGCAGCGCTCAAAATTAGCATCAGCATCAGAGCAACGATCCTCAGTTCCTCACCTTTACATTTAAACACTGTGTCCACTCACTGCCCACTCTATTAGACACTCCTACCTTGCCAGTCCACCTTGTAGATGTAAAGTCAGAGACGATAGCTCATCTGCTGCTGCACAGTTTGTGTTGGTCATCCTCTAGTCCTTCATCAGTGGTCACAGGACGCTGCCCACAGGACGCTGTTGGCTGGATATTTTTGGTCGGTGGACTATTCTCAGTCCAGCAGTGACACTGAGGTATTTAAGAACTCCAGCAGGACTGCTGTGTCTGATCCACTCGTACCAGCACAACACACACTAACACCACCACCATCAAGTCAGTGTTACTGCAGTGCTGTGAATGATCCACCATCCAAATAGTACCTGCTCTGTGAGGGTCCATGGGGGTCCTGACCACTGAAGAACAGGGTAAAAGGGGGCTAACAAAGTATCAGAGAAACAGATGGACTACAGTCTGTAACTGTAGAACTACAAAGTGCAACTATATGGTCAGTGGAGCTGATAAGATGGTCAGTGAGTGTTCTGTGAGTGACTGTGAATACAAGATAGGTGTACTTAGCCTTTCACGCTAAGGTTCTACGTTCAGTGTTACTGAATTACTGAAAGCTGATACAGCTTATTTTGTCCATGCAGAGCCGTAACAAAACACACTGCTTTTAAATTAGGAGATCTTTCTTTGGGGTCAAGTTTGGGCAAATATGACAAATGCGATTAATCATGACCAGCTACACAAAATCATGCAATTAACTGTGATGTACTCATATAGTCAAAATATGAAAAGTGTAAACACTGGACACGATCCAGCCCCATAATTGGTGTGTTACTGAGGGCAATGGCTGATGTGTTTGTGTTGGTTTGTTTAATCCTGAAGCTCAGATCTTCTTATTTATAGTTTTTCTGCCGTTGGAAAAATAAATGGCAGTGACTTCTTTGAATCAGATCTTTGATTATTGTTATGGAAATGACTGGTAGTTTGATTGGTGGTTCTTTGGCTATGATTGTATGCAAAAGTTTGAACACCCCCAGTCAAATGCCGTGAAATACAAACAGAGATTTCTGTAATAGTTAGCCTTTCATTCTTGGAGATATCTGTACAAGAAATAATTTACAAAGCCCTTTTAAATTACATTTTATTTTACTGTAACACCACTGACGAAAACACCAAAACACCACTAACAACAACACTGTAACACCACTGACGAAAACACCAAAACACCACTAACAACAACACTGTAACACCACTGACGAAAACACCAAAACACCACTAACAACAACACTGTAACACAACTGATGACAGCACTGTAACACTACTGATGACAATACTGTAACACCACTGATGACAACACTGTAACACCACTGACGACAACACTGTAACACAACTGATGACAACACTGTAACACTACTGATGACAATACTGTAACACCACTGATGACAACACTGTAACACCACTGATGACAACACTGTAACACCACTGAAAACAACACTGTAACACCACTGAAAACAACACTGTAACACCACCGATGACAACACTGTAACACCACTGATGACAACACTGTAACACCACTGATGACAACACTGTAACACCACTGATGACAACACTGTAACACCACTGATGACAACACTGTAACACCACTGACAACAACACTGTAACACCACTGATGACAACACTGTAACACCACTGACAACAACACTGTAACACCACTGACAACAACACTGTAACACCACTGATGACAACACTGTAACAACACTGACAAAAAAGGCCAGAATAATGTATTTTTACAGTATAAACTGAAAAACAAGCTTCAAACTGTTGTTTATCATTATAATAGTTTTTTTAAAGTTACTGCTTTGACTGTTTTTCAGGCACAATATGACTAAAAATGACTAAAATAAAACAAAACAAAACAAAACAAAAAGAATTGTCATAGTTCTGGGTTAATTTAGAGCAAATACACATCAACTTTTGTGGTTTATTCTTATTTTGAGTTCATTGTGTTTAATATTTTATTGCCAAACACTTTTAATGGAGTTTATGTTCCTCTATCCACCTCTGATTATCATGAAGGGGAATTTTCTCTCAGATTTGAATTAGAAGTGGCTGAACTGTGCCGCCCCCTTCACAGGTGTTTCAGACTGGATCCCTCCGACCGGCTCCTCTGCCCACACTGCGTGACGGCCGGAGGGTCGTAGCCCACGCGCTCTACACGCCCAGCGTCAAAGACAATCCAAAGAGACAGCGACTTTCTGCCTTCAATAATAGAAGAGAACATCACCTCAGCTGTCCTTACGCACCGGCACGCACCGACTGCTGTCGCTTCTGATCTCCTGTGACGTTTCTTACGACGTCCGACGTCTCCCAATGGACCAATCAGAAAACAGCATGAACAAATCCCCTCTGCGCTTATCTGGACCTCCAGTACGAACTCTTTCACACATTCTAGACTGGTGTTGGTCTTTATATATTATGTAAAAATATGTCCCACAGTTAAAAAAATTATTTACAAAGATTGTTATTTAATTCCAAGGCATTCATTGAGATAGTATTGAGCTAAATATATACAAAATCATCATTTATAGGGTTTTTTATTGAGAGGTGACTGTCTTAAACCCCAACCACTAAATTTCAACTTGTGAAAATTTCATTTTTTTAATTTTTATTTTTTATGTTTGTGGTAATTTTTAGGATGTAGTTGATTTTTTTAAATTCATCATGAGCCTAATTTTTTAATAAAAAACATTTTTTAATGACATGTTTGCATGTCACTATCAAAACACAAAGTTTAAGTCCATGGCCATAGCCTTATTTTAGCCACGCCCCTGCATTTTAGAGCAGGAAGTGTGGCTGCGTCCCTGTCCCTCACGGCCACATGGTGAGCAGTTAGATCCCATTGTTTTGAAGTAAATGTGTCCTAAAGTCTGAAAATCAGTGTGGAACATTAAGAATTGTCACTACCGAGACACAGATTTTCTGCTGTCCAGTACTTTTTGTGTGTACAGCTGGCTGCGTTTTTAAATTTATGCTCAAAATGAGCTAAAATTGTCACCAAAACAGTCACTACTGAAACATTTGGTAAAGTTTGGGTAGAGTTATGATTGTTGTAATAGTGACAAATCGAATGTTCACTCAAACCAAGTCCAGATAAATTAAAAAGATACATATAAAGAGTCATTACTATATATATACATTATATATAATGTGGCTCCTAACAACCACCTGGAAGACCTGGTCGACACCAAAACTGCCCCCATCAGATAAACAGCACTGAAAGCTTTCATCTCTGAGAGAGAGGAGAAAATCAAGCTGCTTCAGATCTGAAAACATCCACAGGTGTTTCTGTCCATCCTTCCACTGTGAGAAGACGACTCAGCGCTGTGGGTCTGAAAGGATGTGTAGCTGTCAAGAAGAACCTCACTGAGAAAAGGAGACGGACACATCAAACAAAGAAGCTGAACGATGGACTGACCACCCCAGAGTCCAGACCTCAACACCACTGAATGTGTTTGATTACTTCAGAAAATGATCAACCAGCTTCTAAGACTGAACTTTGGAGGTGTGTCTGCAGATTCTTTGAGGAGCTGAAAGTGAGTCTCCTGAAGAGAATGGAAGCTGGAATAAAAGGTGAAGAGTCGCACTCTGAACTCTCGGCTTCTGTGTCATTTTCTGCTTTTTTTCCTGACGCTGAAAAATGAATAACTTCTACTTTAATGGCTGCTTTGAATGGAAATAAAATAACTGAAGGGTGGTCTCTGATTTTTGGACAGTATATATACAGTATATATCTAAATATACCCACAGTCTAAGGCCTGCCTGCTGTTTGGAGCAGGACTTCAGTGAGGGACAATGGTTTGGCATGTGCTCTGGCAGAGAATGTGGGGGAGAGCTTCCCCATCATTAGATGTGAGCTGGCAGTGCCAGTCAGGGGTCTGTCTCAGCAGGGTGGTCACAACTATGTGTGTGCGCGCCTGTATGTGATTGTCATCTACAAGAACAGGCTCTCTTTAGCGCCGCAGCTCCATCTAGTGGCCTTTTTTATTTCATACCTTCTGCTGTACCTTCAACATCAGCAATCAACTGACATGAAACCACTGGACTCAGATTCACTTCAGTTTTATTTGCATGGCGCTTTTTACAGCTTGAACAGGAATGTGAGGGCAACTCCCTTAATGAGGAAGAACATGAGGAGGAACCACTGAGAGGAACCAAGACTCAAAGGAGAACTTAACTGAGAGCTTGAGGAAGAACCACTGAAAGGAACCAAGACTCAAAAGGAGAAACTCCCTTGGAACATGAGGAAGAACCACTGAGAGGAACCAAGACTCAAAGGAGAACTTAACTGAGAGTGTGAGGAAGAACCACTGAGAGGAACCAAGACTCACAAGGAGAAACTCCCTTAGAACCGTTCTTGCTGCTTTCAGATAGGGCTGTGTAAGTTTTTCCATTTGAGTGTTGCTTAATAGTGTCCCTGAGAACTTTAGGAGGCTCCTTCACCTTCACCATGATCATTACCTGTTCTGTGAAATCATCCCAGCCACTGGCAACATCTTTTATAATGACATCAGGTGCAACTTGGACAAGAACATTTTTCTGTTTTCATTTGTAGGACCACATCGAGTCACTTTACCTGAAAATATGAACAAACATCATTTAGAAGATGAAAGAATATTTAAATCCTTTATTTCGTGTTTGGTTTCAGTGCAACAGTGTTTTGCTGCGTCTCGCAAAATCCACCGTCTGATCTCGCGCATGCGCAGACTGAAAAATCTGAAAGAAATCAGAATAAGAGTTTACATGCACTGAGAAATCTGATTACTGAGCTAAATCCAGCCTCTTTATCGGATTTCTTAATCAGATTTCTAGATCGGAGTATGGTGTTTACATGACCATTTGAATAATTGGATAACTGCAGAAATTGGATTATGATCAGATTATTGAGTGCACTGTATCATTCCGATAGAGAGATGGATTTTAGTTCAGTAATCAGATTTCTCAGTGTATGTAAACTCTTACTCTGATTTCTTTCGGATTTCTCAGTCTGAGCATGTGCGAAAACAGACGGCGGTACCGGAAATAAGCGAGCAGCGTCGCCGCGAGACGCAGCAAAACACTCATGTAGACCTGGAATTTCCCCATTATCTGATTACTCAAGTGCATATAAACGTGTTGATTGGATTACTGACTCAATTTCTTTCAATTTGTTCTGTTGTTTTTGATTTTCTGAAGTTATCGGATTATTAAGTGCAGCTAACCACACTCAATGTAAATGTTCCTCAGAGCTCCAACAGTGGTTTTAAGGTCTGATTGTGATCCTTAAATAAGTTTTTCCAGGTGAAAAGTTCGTATTTGTACCTTTTCATAACCGAATGTTTTAAACAGAACAGTAAAATAAAAGTCCTGGAGACGAGACGGGGTGTGTGGAGTCAGTACAGCTTAGAACATATCATTTCAGTGGATTATGGTTCAGTTATGTTCCCTGACTAAAGATACTGAGATGGAGCCTTGAGGGTCCCGCCCCAGCGACAGTTTAGTACCTTTATTTCTGAGAGTGTAATCTCCCACTTAAATACACTCAGAACCACAAAACCTGCTCCATCACTGAGCTGGTAGTCGTGTTCATCACCTTCCTCGTGTCGCTAGACTCTCACACTTCCAGCTAAAAAGAGCGGACCGTTATTGTGTTTACTTCCTGGGTATATATGTGTTGGTCCATGTGTTTTTATGTCAAAGCATTCCTTTCACCAGTAAGCCCGCTCCTCTGCCGTCCCTCTCAAGGGCATTTCAGAAAGGGTCAGAGTGAGAACCGCGTCATGTGACCATAACACCACTCACTGTTGGGTTTTACAGCCTCCGGTTCCTCATCTGCTCTTGTTCAGTTAAATAGGAACTTGAACCCACAACCTCTCGGTAATGAGATCAATCAAAGCGTTCTGCTCTGTTTCTCTCCCTGTAAAAAAGCATCTTGCCAACAGCAATGCATGCTGGGAAAGCCAGCGGGGGGCCCGGATGGACGCTTGGTGACCCAGCCTGGTTGTCCTAATCAAATAGTCTTGTATCTTAACGGTGTCTGCAAATCAGAACTGTGTAAGAAAAAATTGACCTACTTACAGTAACATAGGTTAATATATACATTTGGGGTTGGCTTTATTATAAGTTCCTCTCTTGTACCTCCCCCTGACTGTGATTGGTCCTAATCACCAGGTCATGTGTTCTGAGACCTCCCCCTGACTGCGATTGGTCCTAATCACCAGGTCATGTGTTCTGAGACCTCCCCCTGACCTAATTACCAGGTCATGTGTTCTGAGACCTCCCCCTGACTGCGATTGGTCCTAATTACTGCGTTGTTTATTCTGAGACCTCCCCCTAACTGTGATTGGTCCTACTGACTATGCCATGTGTTCTGAGAACTCCCCTTGACTGTGAATGGTCCTAATAACCAAGTCATTTGTTCTGAGACCTCCCCCTGACTGCGATTGGTCCTAATCACTAGGTCATGTGTTCTGAAACCTCATCCTGCCTCTGATTGGTCCTAATCACCAGGTCATCTGTTCTGAGACCTCCCCTGACTGCGATTGGTCCTAATCACCAGGTCATCTGTTCTGAGACCTCCCCTGACTGCGATTGGTCCTAATCACCAGGTCATCTGTTCTGAGACCTCCCCTGACTGCGATTGGTCCTAATCACCAGGTCATGTGTTCTGAGACCTCCCCCTGACTGCGATTGGTCCTAATTACTGCATTGTTTATTATGAGACCTGCCCCTGACTGTGATTGGTCCTACCGACTATGCCATGAGTTTTGCAGACTTAGAACGAGTCGATTTTTGAGTATAGTAATGACGGACACTATTGTTCCACAATCCAACGGGAAACGAAAAAGGAGGAGCTTCTCGCGTCTGGCAAGAGCAGCTGCGGTGGTAGCAGCAACAGAAACGGTGTATAAATGTGAGTTCATCCCAAATTTGTAAAATATTCTGTAAAAAAACAAACATGTTATACTTACTAATGTTTCCATTTGTTAGCATTTCTGTAAGAAATTTGTTTGTGAACGCACGTTAATTTGTTAGCTAGCCTTCAGAGTCTAGCTTGCTATGATGTACGTTGTCATAGCAACAGTTCGTCACTTCCTGTTAGTAAGAATGGTGTAGTATGTTAATATTTTGTGTACTAACCTGTCGAGCTCATACTATTAAAATTAGTACATAGTATATACTGTACAGTATTAGTGTGTAGTACACAATTGGGACGCAGGTCGAGTGTCTGAAGAACAGCAAAGAACAGCACTATAATCTGGTGTCCATCCATTAGGCTTCGGTTATGCTCACACAGCTATGGAGTTGCAGGAAGCAGAACTCATATTGGAACTTCATCTCCCATCTTGCTGAGTCAAGCTGTGAAACCATGCAATATAATCACACTGAAGTCTGGGCCCTTTCACACTGAATGCCAGCTATTTGAAACCTTTTAAATTCTTAAAGTTAATTTATGCTATTTTTTCTCAAAATGCTTTGTTCTTCACACCTGAAACCAGGTCAGAATCAGTCAAAGAAAACAAGGCTCACCTCCGAGATCATAAATGCTCTTGAATGGAGAAAGGTCGAAGGCCGTGACCACATCCCTGCCGCAGATGTTCCAGATGGAGTTCATCAGCCGCATGAACTTCACCATTTCCTCGTCGGACCTGCAACCCGAAAGCTCACATCATAATATGGCTAAAGAAGGAGGAATAACGGTGGTTCGGCCGGGGACGCAGGAGCAGAACCTAAACGTAACTAGCACGGACAGCTTGTTTCTTAGGGCTGGTTTTGTGAAGTTTGTTATCAAGCTTTGGGTTGTTTTCAGGCTTTGGGTTCCCTGGGCCACCAACCATGCCCTGTCAGCTCGGCAAGACAAAAACAGGCGGAGCGTGGCTGAAGGCTGAAGACACGGCCTCCTCTCTCAGCTGTCCTGGAGCCAAGCAGAGCCTGACACAGCTCAAGGACCCAAACGTCAAGCCTTTCATGTCGGAGATGACCCCCAGGGCGGCCTGGGATACAGCAGCCAGTCATTAGTCAGCGGCTCCTCAGTGTTAACCTTGGAGAGTCGGTTGGCTTTTACGAATACAACACCAGACAGCTCAGTGAAAGTCGCTGGCCGTGGGATGTTTTCAGAAGTGTTTTGTAACTTACCAGATTCTGTTCTTCTCCCAAGAGACACAAAACTCCTCGGATACATCCACTCATGAAAGCAGAAGACACGGTTAGGCATGCTGGGCTGTTTCTCTTGGAGTTCCAAAGCACAGTATGTTAATTCAGAATATAAATCTGCCAGGAAACTGCAAATTCAGTACATGTTCTCTCCACACAGATTCACTCTTTAATGCTTTCTTTGGTCCTGGTGTAACACATCCACTTGACATGATCATTTGTTTTTCTTCTTGTTAAGACATGGCAGATGCACATGCACCAATAGACAAATCTTAGCCATTCCAGCCTAAAATTAGTGTTTTAACATATAATATAATATTATGCAGTATTGACATGATGTGCATTTTTTGTGTCCAAGTCTATTATTTTTATTTATTATTCAACAATATCTCTTCTATGTGGAACTATTTTCAGTGCATCTGTCATTTTAGTTTCTTTTTGCCTTCAAAAGTCTAAAAATATCAGGTGGTGCACCCAGCCAAACATATGTGTTGTGAATAGTTATTCATTTTTATTTTTTTTTATTATTAATAAATTAATAATTATTAATTTTTTAGATTAGTCACAAATTTACATTTTTAAAGGTAATATATTTATATAAAATCCTAAATGTAAACAGTTTAGCATGATGTTATACTTAAAAACTTTAAAATAAAAAATGTTGCAAATAAGGCAACTTTAAAAGTATGCAACTTACTGAACCTTTGTACTGTTTCAAATGTCAGGTGGCACAACTAAAAACAAAGGTATTTTATTTTGACATGCTTTTATGAAAGAGAGGCCGGCACATTGCATCATTAAGAAGACCCCAAGTGACCTTCATGGTGAAATGCCAAGGTCAGTAGCCCTTTTACAAATTTAGTAAAAGTGTGTGTTTTTTTTTTGTTTTGTTTTGTTTTTTTTTGTGGTTAGAATGGTTCACTTTACCATGTCAGGTGGTCTGACCTCAGGAGAACCATTAAAATGTGGAATTATTATAATAATGTTGATCTATTTGCAAAAATGTTAGCATAAAGTCACGCTCAAGGACAAAGGTTTCTACGGACGTCTAAGTAGTTGCCTGTTTAATTTGAAATTAGTCTGAAAAGTCAGGTGGCTCAACCAGTCAGTCAGATGGAGCAACCAGACCAGCACAGATTAATAGCTGAAACAGGCAATTAAAGATTTGATACACTTGCTATATTTAAGATAGAAAATGTACAGAAATATAAATGCAAATATATTTGCAGAAATAAACACACACATCATGTCCTTTTTAATAAGATTTTCATTTTGAAAACCTTATTTGTCATTGGCCTCATTCACGATTTCACATTCCCGTGTTCTCATGTTTTTCTTTGGCTTTTAGATGGTTGAATGAATATAATAAGATCATCTAATTATAAGCTGACAATAATATCAACATGAGGAATATTAGATATATCGACTACATTTAAGACAGTTTCTCCTGCCAAGATGCCATTTTTTTGCAGTGTATGTGTACAACCTCATAAAAAAACAGCTCAGACCAGCATGAATTACATGCTGGTCTAAGCTGGTTTTTGCTGGTCTGGTGCTGGTTTAGCTGGCCACCCATGGTCATGCTGATGGATCTGCATACCAGCATCCAAAACGCAACACATTGCTATTGTCAGAAGAAAACCTCATATCTCCGAAATGACCACTTTACAGGAGAAGGACAAAACCTACTTTACTTTTAATGTAAGTCAATGGAACCAGAGTTTTTGGGTCATTTCTTTTGGTCCATTTTTCATGAAATTTATACACAATATAAATAGCAACATACATACATGCATACATCATCTAAACCGCTTATCCTTCTGGGTCACGGTGGGGTGCTGGAGCCTATCCCAGCTGTCATTGGGCGGAAGGCAGGATACACCCTGGACAGGTCACCAGTCCATCGCAGGGCAATAAATAGCAACAGGTATTTTCAAATTATGTCAGAAACTAAAAAAATGACAAAAATGGATATGCACGGTTTTCTTCCGACAGCGGTGATATGCTGGTTTATGCTGTTTTCTCTAGCAGGCTGTGTGGAGGGGTGTTTTAGCACAACTCTGAGACCAGCCTGCTCTGCTAAAGCCAGCGTGACGGGTCCCTGAGGCCTTCCTCTCAGAGCATCTCTCAGCAGAACCTCTGGAGTGTTCAGTCAATTCACACCAAAACATAGGAACCCAGTGTTTCACCTCACAGCTGCCACCTGTACCAGTACGGCTTGTAGCTGACAGCTAATTGAAGCTTATAGACCAACGATTAGTGCAATTAGTGAAATAAAGACCACTCGAACCACTATCCCTGCTGAAAAACCCACAGAACCCATTAGGTGCTTCTTGCTTTTTAATTGCTTTGTAATGTGTTTAGGCTTTTTTAATAGGTTGATATCACAATAGCCATGTTTACATGCAGCCTAATAATCCATTAATAATCTGACTAATAGCTCAATTGGAATAGATTATGTCCATGTGAACACTTCAATCGGAATAGTCTAGTCTGATTGAGGCCATTCAGAATACAGTTTCTGTCTGACTGATCGAGGTGGGTAATCCTGTAAATAATCTGTTAAATAGAAGAATAATATCCGTGTAAACGCCTGTATCTGATTACATTCCCTATCGGAAAGTTTAAGTCCGTTCTGATCATGTTCGTTGCGTCATAGTAAAAGTTTATACCGTTCAACATGGCGGAGCAGAAACTGGTCTGCAGAGGAGACGAAGTTTATGCTCTGATCTTTAAAAGACGGCGGTGGGACGGACGTCCAGCTTATGTGTCTCAGAACACGACGTCTTCCTCTCGGCCTTCTTTAATAAGGACATGTGAAGGACGTTTTCCTGAGTCTGACATCATTTTAAAGTAATTAAAAACACAAGCGCTGCTCACTGCTGCTCATCTCACTCTGACTGGACTCGCGTGATGCTGGTTGTCATGGTAACGTCTACACTAGGCGGTTCTCTACGCATGCGTGTAATTTTGGATCTGATCACTTGTAGTGAGCATGTAAATGAAGATTTTCTATCAGATTGTTGAGTAGAGTGAAAATAAACACCTCAGTCTGAATCTATAGTTGGAATGTGTTCAATCGGATTGGCAGAAGTCTTTGCATGTAAACACAGTCAATATAAAGGGTCCCAATAGTTTAACAGGTGACCAATGGCTGATTCTAAATGCATTTGATGGTTTTCTAATGAGATCCAAAGGTGTTCTACAGGAAACCAGAGGTCTCTGCTGGAAACTGTTAAGCCAATTGCCATTAGGTTTTAATCCTAATGGTTACCAATGGTCCTTTTTCAGCAGGGATGATTAAAACCTGATGGTTTTGCTTTGTAATAGGAACTGGCTGAAGTGACCACCAATCAGAGACCACTTGGTTCCTGTAGGACACCTTTAGATCCCATTAGGACCATCAGTGCATCTGGAATCAGTCCCAAAACACCCGTTAAACCATTAGTGTCCTTCACACTGTGATATCAACCCACCAGGACAAACGCAGAACACCATTAGTGACTACTGGACTCCACCAGGAACCAACAGACACTTTTTATGGTTTCTACAAGGGAAATCATCTCAAACTGGACTCAAACTCTTTGCTTCTTTAGTTTTAGCACTGGAGCTACAAGGCTAATGTAGCTAACAAGTAATGTTAGCTAATACCCCAACAGTTATCATACATGCCTAAATCCTGCTTCAAACTGTGTTGAGTTGTCCAGTAATCTCTTGATTTTGTGGTTTTCTACACATTAACTAAAACACTAGCAGTAGCCACTTTCCCTGCTAGAAAAACCAGCATAGACCTGCATTGCTGGTCACCAGCATATCACTGTTGTCAGAAGAAAACCTTGTATCTCCATTTTTGACGTTTTTCAGTTTTTGACATAATTTGAAAATGCCTGTTGTTCTTTACATTGTGTGTAAATTTCATGACGAATGGACTAAAAGAAATGGCCCAAAATGACTTGGAAAAACGTCTGGTTCCATTGACTAACATTGAAAGTACAGTATGTTTTTTCCTTCTCCTGTAAAGTTACCATTTTGGAGGTATGAAGTTTTCTTCTGATAACAGAGATATGTTGTGCTCTGGATGCTGGTGTGCTGGTCAGCAGCAATGGACGTTAACATGCTGACTGTTTTGCTGTTGTTGGAAGAAAACAAATCATATCCCCAAAATGGTAACTTTACAGGAGAAGAAAAAAACACACTCTACTTTTAATGTAAGTCAATGGAACCAGACTTTTTTCCAAGTCATTTTTGGACGTTTCTTTTACTCCATTCATCATGAAATTTACAAACAATATAAAGGACAGCACACATTTTCAAATCCTGTCAAAAACTGAAAAATGACTAAATGGAGGTTTTTACAAGGTTTTCTTCCGACAGCAGCGATAGGCAAAATCAGTATATGTCAGGTTTTGGAGCTGGTATACTGGTCATCCAGTATGTCCATGATCGGTGACCGGCTAAACCAGCACCAGACCAGCATAGAATGTATGCTGGTATGAGCTGTTTTTCAGTAGGACTGAAGCCTGAATGTTGGCATTTTTGTCTAGTTTATAGATGACAGCATATATTTTATAGACAGTTTTCATGATGCTAATTTGTGGGGTATAAGCTTTCATTACGTGTCCAATGTAGCAAACTTCAGACACCAAACATGCCTTTTTCTGATTGACAGCATTTGGCACTGGGGAAGAAACTGTGTACATTTGATCACTTTAGAGGCACACATTTGCTTTTCTTTAGAGATGGAGAACCCACCTGTACACGGCTTCAAACAGGTCCTTGGAATTCACTCCAAATGCCCTCTCATACTGGTTCTTTCCCTCTCTGAAGACAGAGAAACAATGTTTGAGTTCCAGAGAAGGTCGAAATGAAGTTTCTCTCAAATACATCAATGTGTACATGAACTTCTTGAGATTCAGTCAATAGAGCTGTATGTTGCTGGGCTATTTAGGTTGTGAAAGAAAGCCTCTGGGAGAGACTTTTCCCAGTTGAAGTGTTTTTTCTGTATAATTAAATGGTTAAGACATAAACAGAGTCGTTCAGAGTGGTTTGGTGTGAAACGCTCCATTCTAGAGAAACTTACCGAGTCAGAATCGTTCACAGTGGTGGTGATAGGAACCAGACGTCCACCTCTAAAAGCTCCCTCACAGACACTTATTATTCAAGAAATGTTTATGAATATCCTGCCTCATTAATGAGACATTGTTTTATGATAATAATAGCTAATAATACAAATTTATCAATTCTGGTTTTTGTTTAAGGCCATCCAAAAATTCCATTCCATTTTTTTCTATTTCGATTTTTTTTTAATGTTTTTTTAACCATTTCATTAATATAATGTGAGCTGTAAGACTCTGTAAATTTACATGTATATTCCATTATACATAATATATGTAGTCTATTGTAGCCCTTAGAAATAAATATTCCTAAATTAATTTTTAACGTATATCACTGCAGGGCTTTCCAGTGACTGTTTTTATTATAAACTATTGTTCCAGTAAAGGTAAAGTCCTTTCTTTATGTTTCCAGTTGAGTTAAAGCACAACACACTATTCTGATAAACAGTTTCTGTTAAGATCACAGGTGAGTCCACTTTCAAGTACTGGCTGTACTGTATTAAACGTCTTTCTCTCAGCTGCACTGCAGAGTGGTGCCCTTGATAAGTGCGACACCTAGTGGCCAACATGCCGATGCTTAATCAACACAACATATGAATACATAAAATTACATTTATTGCTCTTTAATGCCAAAAGCTCTGTGTGTTTGGGGTAGAATTTGTGGGGAATTTTAGGGAGAATTCTTCAGGGATGAAATTGGGGGTATATTAGGGGTATTTTGGGGAAAAGATTTTGGGGAAATTTATGAAGGCAGATTTTTCGGAAGAAGATACTGGGAGCTGGGGGGATTTTGGGGGGAGATACAAGCAGGAAATTTTGGGGGGAGATACAGGACATTTTGGATGGATACTGGGGAAAGATTTTGGGGGAGTTGGTGAGACACTAAGGAAGATTTTAGGGAGGTTTGGGTGAGATCTTTTGGGAGTTGGGAGAGATATTGGGGGGATTTTGGAGGAAAATGCTGGGGAAGATAATGGGGAGAATTTAGGGGGGTAGATACTGGCGGGAGATTTTGGGGAGAGATTTTTGGGGGGGTTGGGGAGATACTAAGTGAGATTTTGGGGAAAGAGTCATGGAGGAGATATTGGGGGAATTTTTAGTGTAGATGCTTGAGATTTCGGGGTGTTTGTGAGATTCTAAGGGAGGTTATGGGGAGGTCTGGGGCGAGATCTTGGGGGAGTTGAGAGAGATATTGGGGAGATTTTTGGGGAATATGCTGTGCGAGATATTGGGGGGATTTTGGTCTGGGTTTGGGGTCAGATAGGGGGTGTAATTGTAGGGTTGTAGGGTTTGGGGAAGACACTGGGGGAGATACTGGGAAGCGGGTATTTTTGGTGTTAGAGTTTCAGGCAGTATTGCTCACCGGACTGCGTTTGTGAGGTAATGCCAGCACAGGTACATGGTGTTGGAGTTGTAGTCGATGGAGTGGTACAGAGACCGCGGACTGGACTTGGTCAGAAACATGCTGGACATCTCTGTGTTACTGTATAGGACTGTGTACACATACACACAAAAACCGCCAGCTCTCAGTATGTGTACATTTCTCAATAAATATGTCAAATTAAATAACCATAAACAGATAGATAGATAGATAGATAGATAGATAGATAGATAGATAGATAGATAATGCATATCTAGAAAAAAAAATTAAAGAACCAATTTTTAAACTTTATTTTTTTTACACCTTTTACGCAGGTAGGTAGGCAACTGTAGGAGTCTTGCCCAAGGACTCTTAATGGTACAGTGTAGGGGGATTGAACCCCAGTCTACAGCATAGAGGGCAGAGGTGTTTCCCACTACACTACACCAGCCACATTTCCAGTTTTATGACTGGAAGAAGGGCTTAATATGGGTGGAGATTTCAGTTTTACTGTACATCACACAGCACATTACAGCACAGCATTACTGGGGTGAACGTGGCTATCACACCTTGTCCATCCGTGGTGTGCTGTGTGGTCAGCAGCTCCAGCCCCGCGCAGGCCGATAGCAGTCTGTCCATTCCGTCCTCACTGCTGTCCAAAGCCTGCGCAACCTGTGCCGTGGCCAGGGGGCGCTGTGAGTCCTGCAGCAGGTCAAACACCCCCAACTCACACGCAGCAAACAGCGTCTGCACAGAGGTCAGGGGTCAGATACGCTGAATATGAGATAAAAGTTTAGCACTGTTCAGTCCAAATAGAGTTAGCGTAGCGCTTCTTTGGTTTTAGCACTGGAGCCAATGTAGCTAATGTAGCTAACAATAATGGGAGCTTATGTATACCAGTTAGCCTTAAAGCCCCTTTTAACATGATGTCAAATGTTTCAAATTTTGCTTTAATGGTGAAAATATGCAGCGGAATAAACGTTTACCAGTGTAGTATTCAAGAAATAAATTTAACCTCTTCAACTCCTTGAGACCACCGGTGGTTCCAAAACGCACTTCGTCAGATTCTCCATAACTTTCATATTTCATAAGCTACATTCTAAAGGTGGGGGTCGTATGAGAGCTGTAACTGTCTTCTCTCCAGTCAGATAGATGGGTGATGTCATTTTAAACCTTTATAATAAAAGAAGCTGAACTCACAATTTTTTTTTCCTACTGAAAGTCGACCCATTTTTCCACAAATCTGGGCTATAAACTATAAACAGATGGCGTCTCTTCAGTGATCTGCTCTGTAAAAACTAGTTTTATAAAATAATACAAAGAGCGTCTAAGATTTTTGGCTTTCAGCAGTAAATTGTAAGCATATAGCAATATGTGTATCATAAAACACATGTTCTGTTAATCTGAGGGGAGCTTTTACAAAAAATAAATAAATACATAAAATTAAAAATCTACATTTATTTCATGCAGTTACTGAATAATTTGCCTTACGATTTGGTCATGAAAATTCAGATGGACAAACCAAAATATACCCTGGAGAATAAGAGGTTAAAGTAATACAATTGGTTTTGACAGTGAATGTAAACAGCTGGGTGTGGTTTAGAACTCATATGGACAGGTTTCCTGCTCGGGTGTTCAGCCAGGGGGCAAAACCGCTTTGGTGACTTAGCCGGTCGCAAGATCGTAACGTTAGTCATCTGCTGTAATCAACGAAGATTTCCCATTGTTTGTAAATTCTTGTTGACTCAATAATAAAATGCCATTTCAGAGCTGAATCTGTCTTTCATTTGTATATGAATATAGCGGGATGTAAAATGTTAGTATGAAAACTTCAGCAAACAATAATTGACTATCAGTACCGGCTGGTCATCAGGGGCCGCATTACAGATAATTCTTTAGTCTGAGATCACATCAGAGAACTTGTAGAGAGGAGAACTACCACTCTGTAATGTCTTCAGGGTTTCTTAAACACTAGAGGGCGCTCCAGAGTGAGTCCAAAATGAATGGGTTGATATGGAGCATTTGAGCAAAATCATAGTTTATAAATGCTGAAACATTTTTAATGTAAAAGAATACAATTATTTCCTGAACACTGAACAGCATAAAACATTTTAACACCGCTGTTATATTTTTAAGAGCTTTTAAACTCGAGTTATAGGAGTTTAAAACGGCGCCTCATGTACGTTCATGACGTCAGTGAGCGCGAACAGCCAATGAGCTGCTCCGCTCGCCAACCAATCAGGACTCAGTAGCAGTTATGCCCGCCTTCTGCTGCCCAAAACCCACTTACTATAGAAAAAAGGAAACATACAGGTGAGTTTTCTTTGCTTTTTTAGTGAAATTCATTCCTCTACTCTCTAAAATTAAAGGAAAGTTCTGGTTCAGTGATTAGAAACTATTTTAACTCTTAGTTTTTAGCTGTTGAGCTCCATTCACTCCCATTCATTGAGGACTCACTGCTTAGCAGTCCTGTTTTTGATATAACGGGGGAAATAGGAAGTGGCCAGGCTCCTCATAAACCAGCTCTGATCATATCATATCTACTTTGTTTTCATGCCAACTTCAGTTAAGACTGAAGTTAGGACAGAAGCCATTACAGAATAACAGTTCTTCAGTCTATAATCTTATTTCCAGATTAGAAAACAGTTTTACAGAAACATCCTAAGCTGCCAAAATATCCTAAATATTTTCTTAACTGTAAGATAAACCCCAGAGTCTTAACTTCAGTTTAACCGTCTGTTTCTATTGTTTTATGCAGTGTCAGGCAGCCCAGTTCACTATAACCAGCATAACGACGCTACATATATCTACATTAAACAAGGTGCTTTGACTTTAAAAGCCCCAGACGCTGCAGACTCGATCTCCACCGTCCCCTCTGATTACCTTCGTGTGTTAATGTTGATGATGAAACATTACAGTGATGGTGGTGAATAACGAGGAGACGGAGCTGAACGTGTGTCTGTTTATTAGGAGGAGTAACGTTAGCGCGCTCGGCTAAAGCGTTTGGGAAATGGAGACTGAAACTGGAGAGCAGCGACTCTGATATATTATGATCTATTTAAACCAAAGGCATTAGGTTCTTTGAGACAGCAATAAGCTAAATATCATGCAAAATAATCATTTATAGGAAACCTTCTATTGGAAGGTGGCTGTCCCAAATCCTAACCTCTAAAATTTTGTGAAAATACAAATGCATTTTTCGCTGTTTGTCTTTAGAGATGCTTTTTATTTCTTTTGAAAGATTTGCATTTATCATAAGCATAATTTTTACATTAAACATTTTTTTCAATAAATACTGTCCCACATTTTCATATCAGTACTGAAACACAAAGTTTGTAAATGGGTGGAGCCTTATTTTGGCCACACCCCTACATTTTAGAGCAGAAAGTGAGGCTGCATCCCTGTCCCTCATGGCCACATGGTGAGCAGTTAGATCCCATTGTTTTGAAGTAAATGTGTGCAAAAGTCTGAAAATCAGTGTGGAACATTAAGAACTGTCAATACCAAAAAACATATTTTCTGCAGTTAATTACTTTTTTGCATTTTAATGAAAAATATGATGATTTAATGTTTGTACAGCTGTTCAAAGCTGTGTTTGCAGGTCATGTACTGGCCGCGGTTTTGAGTTCTGCTCAAAATGAGCTAAAATTGTCACTACCGAAACAGTCACTACTGAAACGTGGTAAAGTTTTGATAGTGTGATTGTTCTGGTAGTGAAAAATGAAATGTTCATTCATTTGTTTTAATAAAATTAAGATAATTATGCCATAGCGACATTCAGAATCATGTTATGATCTATTTAAACCTAAGGCATTAGGTTTTTTGAGACAGTAATAAGCTTAATATTGAACAAAATAATCATTTATAGGGAACTTTCTATTGGAAGGTGGCTGTCCCAAATCCTAACCCGTTAAATTTAAAAAATAAATAATACGAATACTCAGCAGAGCGTTGGAGACTTTTATGCACTACTGACACTTCGTGGCTGAGTTGCTGTGGTTCCTAAACACTTCCACTTTTCAATAATACCACTCACAGTTGATCGTGGAACATCTAGGAGGGAAGAAATGTCGGGAACTGACTTGTAACAGTGACAGCCTGTTACAGCACCACGCTGGAACTCAGTGAGCTCTTTAGAACCATCCTTTCACTAATGTGTGTAAAGGCAGGCTGCATGGCTGGGTGCTTGATTTTATACACCTGTGGCAATGAGACTGAATGAAACACCTGAATTCAATGATTAAGAGGTGTGTCCCAATACTTTTGTCCATATAGTGTATCAGCTCATTTACATATATCAGTCTTAAAGGCACAGTAAGAAAAACAGCCTGTTCAATTCTAAGTAGTAAAGAGAAGTTGTAAATTGGCCACGTTTAAATGAATTATGACTATTAAACATCATAAGTGGGCCTTTTAATTTAAAGTATGTCACCACAGCAACCCCATATTATTCAATAATATATAATTTGCTTAACATGATGTTTTCTAAACAAAATATTGGAAACTAGAAAATGAATAGTAATGACTGATTGATTCATTCATTATTAAGACAATTTAATACTTATTAAGGAGGTTTAATCTGTAAAAAAGTAGTTTCATACAAGTTATGAGTTCTTAAGGACAGGGTGTGAGGATCAGACTAAACTCTGATGTTTACAGAAAAATGACTTTAGTTACAGGTGCTCGTTTCTAATGAATAAAAAGTGCAATAAAAAAACACAAAACAAAATTACCTTCGACACCAGGTAACCCTCCATGTACTGCAGAATTTTCTTAGGGTACATATTCTCTTTCACTACAGCCATATCCAACTGAGTCGGTCACTTCAGCCTGGTGTGAGAGGGTGCCCGAGCGAGACTGGACATTTTGTGGGGGAGCTGATCAACAGTGGACATAATCAGATTAGATGGATTACTGGGCCAGACTGAATGGCTGACTGAGCAGAGTAATGAGCTACAGCTGGACGATACGGACCAAACAGCAGTATTGTGATCTCAGCTTTATATATATATATATATATATATATATATACACATCTGTTTCTATGCATACTTTGTTACCCTGTTCTTCAGTGGTCAGGACCCCCATGGACCCTCACAGAGCAGGTACTATTTGGGTGGTGGATCATTCTCAGCACTGCAGTAACACTGACGTGGTGGTGGTGTGTTAGTGTGTGTTGCGCTGGTACGAGTGGATCAGACACAGTAGTGCTGCTGGAGTTTTTAAACAACTCAGTGTCACTGCTGGACTGAGAACAGTCCACCAACCAAAAATATCCAGCCAACAGAGTCTCATGGGCAGCGTCCTGTGACCACTGATGAAGGTCTAGAGCAGAGGTCTTTAATTAAAATTCAGTAAGGTCCAGTAAGAAAAAGTTTCCTCAAGCAAAGGTCCAGAACATCATAATGTCTAACTTGCATCATGACTCAGTGCCATATACTGTTTACTGAAGTAGCCTAGTAGGTATATCAACATCTTATACAGTCAACAACTGAATGTCAAACCAAATAAAGTACAGTTTAGTCATATTTCAACAACATTTATGGTCAGTTTTCTCTTTTTAGAGCACGACATGTGAAATAACTTCCCTCTCACTTTCTTCTCCCGACTGCTGTGTCTCGCCTCGTCCCTCCCCTATGTTTGCGTCACTCACTAGAGTCTCAGTGCTCATCGTAACGCACAGATCTGATTGGCTGAATAGCGTCACGTGTGATATTTACAGCACATGTGATTGGTCTGTGAGTCTCCGGCCGCTAAAGCCGTACCGTTATGACTAGAAATGTTATGCTGATTAAAATAGGACCACCCCGTCGCAATTAAAGAATTCTTCATAGTTAATTGGTTATAGGCCCAGGTCCGCATAGGACAGCGTCTGGGTCCGGACTCAGACAGCGGTCCGCCTATTAGTGACCTCTGGTCTAGAGGATGACCAACACAAACTGTGCAGCAGCAGATGAGCTATCGTCTCTGACTTTACATCTACAAGGTGGACTGACAAGGTAGGAGTGTCTAATAGAGTGGACAGTGAGTGGACACAGTGTTTAAACACTCCAGCAGCACTGCTGTGTCTGATCCACTCGTACAGGAGCAACACACACTGACACTCACCAGTCAGCGGTTATTGTTTTTATTTGTGAGTTTGTAAAGGTATTCCTTGAATGTAAATAAAGTTCAGTATTATAAGTTTTATTATATTATTATTATTATTATTATTTCTTTAGGAATGTAACTGAACGACGGTCATGAGGGTCAAGTCAGAAACAAAAGAATTATCGCTGGCCAGATTAAAGGAAAAGCCCGCCGGTTCTTTCTGTGCTGAGTGATTGTGATGGGTGGAAATCCAGTTCATTGTTGTCTCTGATCTCAGCTGGTCAGATTCAGGCCAGACTTTATAATGAGGGAAAACTGGGTCAGAGTGCAGGTCAGCCTCATACACACCCACTGTTATCACTCATTATGGACTGGGGACACTTTAAGGGCTAGTCTTGCACACATTGTGCCCCCTTACTCCAAATGAAGTTGATCAGTCAAGACATGTTGTTTGTCTGAAGTTTGCTTCTATAGTTTTAGCACTGGAGCTACGAGGCTAATGTAGCTCACACGTAATGGAAGGACCAAATTCAGGGGCTGCACTACAGAAACTTCATAAGTCTGAAATCTTATCTGTTTAGTCACCATGACGACTTAAGTTACTGGATTTAGGACTGAAGCTATTCCAGAATAACAGTTCCTACCTTCATAATCTCATCATCAACTCCAGATAAGAAAACAGCATCACACAAACATCCTAACTAGACTAACCCTCCTAAACCCTGTCCTAACTTTAGGATGAACCCCAACAGGGTCCTCACTTCTGTTCAAGGTCCGTTTCTATGGTTTTTAGGCAGCTGAGTCAGCAGCATAGTTCACTACCAGCATAATGAGCTCCATATATTTCTACTGTAAAACGCTGCTTTCACTGTGAGATGATTTTCTTTTCTAACTCTGCGTTTTAAAGATCTCAGACGCTGCAGACTCGATCTCCACCGCCCCTCTGATCACCTTCATGTGTTAATGTTGATGATGAAATATTACAGTGATGGTGGTGAATAATGAGGAGACGGAGCTGAACGTGTGTCTGTTTATTAGGAGGAGTAACGTTAGTGCGCTCGGCTAAAGCGTTTGGGAAATGGAGACTGAAACTGCAGAGCGGCGGCGCTCTGATAAACAGCACGAAGCGCATACACAGTATTCTTAACTTCAAGTTTATCGAGCTTTCGTTTTTTATAACCTTTTTTACATTAGTAACGGTAGCTAACGTTAGCTGTCTGATTTACTAACTTGATTGTTTTGCGCATATGGTCAGTTGCTATGTAACAGACATGACAGTTGATTGTTGACTTTGATCGAGTAGGTTAAGATTTCCTAACTTGAGATAAGAAAAGATGCTGTAAGATTAGATTCCTAAATTAAGGTCAGATTTGCTTCTGTAATACGAATTTGTGAAAAATCGTATCTTGAACTCGTTTTTTACTTCAAATATGGCCTCGGCCTTTACGCACGACTGTGAGGACGAGCTCTTCTGTGGTGCTTGGAATTCTATATGATTAATTAATGTGGACTTTTGCAGCTATAACAGCCTCCACTCTTCTGTGAAGCTTTCCACAAGATTTTATAATCTGTGGGAATTAATTCCCATTTAGTCAAAAGAGCATTTGTGAGGTCAGGCACTGATGTTGGACGAGAGGGCCTGGCTCACAGCTGACGTTCCAGTTCATCCCGAAGGTGTTCAGTGGGGTTCAGGTCAGGCTTCTGTGCAGGCCACTGGAGTTCCTCCACACCAAACTGGGTCAAACCATGTCTTTATGGAGCTGCTTTATGTACAGGGGCTCAGTCATGCTGGAACAGGAAAGGCTCTTCCCCAAACTGCTACCTCTATCCCTACCACCATCCCTCCTCCACTAAGCTTTATTGTTGGCACTATACATTCCGGTAGGTGGCGTTCTCCAGGCATCCACCAAACCCTGATTCATCCATCATACTGACAGATAGTGAAGCTGATTCATCACTCCAGAGAACGTTTCCACTGATCCAGAGTCCAGTGGCGTCACTTTACACCCCTCCAGCCGACACTTGGCATTGCGCATAGTGAGCTTAGGCTTGTGTGCAGCTGCTCAGCCATGGAGACTCATTCATGAAGCTCCTGATGCATAATTATGGTGCTGATGTTGCTTCTAGATACAGTCTAGAACTCTGCAGTGAGTGCTGCGCCTCCCTAATTATACGTTTTATTTGTGCTCAGGTTTTGAGCAATAGAAAAAAACAAGACTGATATTTTTAAGTGTCATTTTATTGGTAACTGAATGGACAAACACTTCCTTAGTCCACAATGACCAGACCAAGTTTCTATCAAAGTCACTATCTTCTCTGATTCTTCCTCTAACCCACAAATCGAAGTGACTGCAGGATCTAACAGATTCATAATGAATAAAAATGTCTAGTTTACAGCTTCATTGTTTCAAACAATGAGTAAAAATCTTCCTGTTTTAGCTCCTAATGGGGTACAATAGCTGAACCCAACAAATGAACCATCTAAAACTGTATTATCCTTAAGAATAACAAGGGGGTACTACTAATTAGATGTGAATAAAAAGACAAAATCCCCCAGGGTGGCTGTGTTGGGAATTAGAGAACAAACTGCATGCAAATCCAACACTGTTTCAAGTTAAGTTGGGTTTTAGAATAGATTCCTAAAGAAAAGAATACAGCAAAAGAGGTCTGAACACTTCTTAGTAGTGAATTAATAACTCTGATGGGCCTGAAACATTAAGGCAACAACCTAAACCATGACTACGGAAAAAAATCACCCTCAAAAAGCCATTTCCACTTCTTTTTCTACCAATAATTGGTAACTACATGACATAAAAAAGAAAAATATTCTTATCAAGTATCTTTGGCTTTGCTGCTCATTATAAAAGTATATAACAGCAAAAGAACAACAACAAAAAAAAGAAATAAAATACTGCGCGATTCTCACGCTAAGTTCAAGTTCAAGGCAAAGCTGACGAAACGTCAGTCACGTTTTATGTGACTTCAGTCGACACTGAGAAGCTGATTAAATCTGAACCAGAACTAGTCTAAACTGTATGTTTAAAAACTGTAAGGAAAAACGTTACTGCTAGGGTTAAAGGGGAACTCCAAAGATTTTTCAAAATTTCTACATAATTAAATGGTTAAGATGTAAACAGAGTCACTCAGAGTGGTTTGGTGTGAAACGCTCTGTTCTAGAGAAACGTACCGAGTCAGAATTGTTCACAGTGGTGGTGATAGGAACCAGACGTCCTCCTCTAGAAGCTCCCTCACAGAAAGTTACTACATGAAATGGTTATGAATTCACTGCCTGATGACTGAGACACTGTTTTATAATAGTTTTAGAAGATTTTGGCATTAAAATCCGTTCATGGTGGCGGGATACATAATACGCAGGGTGCTGTGAGGCAAAATAGTCCCCAAAGAAAAAAAAAAAAATTTGATTTAACACTATTTTATATAAAACTCAGAAGACAGACTAGGTTCACTGGGTGGTTTTTGGTAGTAAATGAAATTACTATTTTTGTATTTTCACAGTTTGTAGACATTGTAATTTTTTGTTCCTATCACTGTAAAGAAATCAGAATCTCTGCAATCAACCACTTCACAACAAACCACTCTGAATGACTCTGTTTACATCTCAACCACTGAATTATGCAGAAAACAATTAAAAAAAAAAAAGATGGAATTCCCATTTAAATACATTTCATCGAAGAAAGAGCACCTAAGGATGACAGATCCTGCCCTGACTTCATCACAGAACATCTGGACAGGTGTTCGTCCACAGTTTTAAGCAGCATTAGAATACACCAGCCAAACATTTGATGTTGTGCATGCTCATGGCAACGGAAACACTCAGCGGAAAATCGAATTCACACAATTTTCCCCATTATATCAAACGTAGCAGGTCAGACAAGACATGTTTGCTTTAGTTTCAAGTGTCTATAGATAACAGTAAGTCATTCAGCATCAGAAACTACATATTCAAGTCTAATAGAGACCATTAAGCAACTGAACACAGTTTAGCTGATGCTAATTGTTCAGTTTTAAAACTAAATTACTTGTTAGCTACATTAGCATCATATCCCCAGGCTGAAGCCCAGCTGCAGTGCACGGTCACTCCACGACTGTAGCCCTCTCGTTCAAATACAGCTTTTAAACGGCAAGCGTCAAAGTTATTTACAGCTAATGCCCTGCCATGTTCATCACAAAAGTACGTTAAATATAAAGTACCGTTTACAAGCAAAACACACCACTGATGCAGCAACATCATATATAAGTAATGTTAGCGCTGCGCCTTCAGCAGACCACACTGGACAGTGCTCTATGGATAAATCAACGAGCAGCAAACTAACAAAAGCAGCAGCAAAGAGGAACGCTCCAGTTCCCCTCCAGAGCCTCTATTGTAACAAGAATCACTGAGCTGGATGAACGAGAGTGAGAGGCTGCAGTCACTGAGTAGCTGGAACTATTGACCGTATATATTCTATATATATATATATATATATGTATATATATACACACACACTCACTGGTTGGAACATGCAGCCACTGATGCTCTCACTGGATGTTGGTGATGAAAACTGGAAACTATGATGGAAATCATGATTTTCATGTTCAGGTTATGCATTCACTTGATTAAATTATGTAATATATAAATATAATGTAAGAAATATATTTGCATATAGCTTATTTTGTCCAATCATACAGCTATAAAGGAAGAAATATCTTTTTTTTAGGGTCAAATTTGAGTGAAAGAAATGAAATTAATTGCAGTTAATTATTTTAATCATTTCACCGTCCTGAGAGCAAACTACAGACACCAAACATGTCTTGTCTGATTGACTACATTTGTAGTAAAGACGAAAACTGTGTGCATTTTCTGAAACTAATCCTTTATCACCACAGCCGAAACGATCGCTTGTCAGTCGGCTGTTTAGCGTTTAGGGTTCAGCGATATTCTAAACAGTTTCAAGTCTGTTCAGCGCCGTCCGGAGCGGCTGTTGGAGCCCCGTCTGTGCCCTCGGCTAGAGGAGTGACTCCTGCTTCTACTTCTACTCTTGGAGCTGCTGCTCTTACTGCTGCTCCCGCTGCTGCAACTGCTGCTCTGTCCGTGACTATACCGATGGCTCCGCCCATGACTCCCTTGGCTCCGCCTCCCACGACTTCTTCGACTCTGGCTTCTGCTCCTCCTGTGGCTGCGGCTCCGTTCGCGACTGTACCGCCTACCGCTCCTGCTCTGCCTCCGTCCGCTCCTACTTCTGCTTCGGGTCCGGCCACTTCTGTGCCCGTGACTCCGCCCTCTGCTGCGGTGCTGAATCTGGTCGCCACGTCCGTGCCTGCTGCTGGAAAACTCTCGACTACGTCTCCGCTCCCTCTGGCCTCTCCGCTCCTCGTCTTTGCTTGGCTTCTCCTGCTTCCTGGTTTTGCTCTCCTGGCGCACCCTAGTGACCGAGGGTGCGGCAGCAACAGGCTTGGTTCCGCCCACCCGGCGGGTGACTCCGTTCAGCTGGGTTTGCGTCTGGAGGTCTACGTTGTTTGGCGATTCTGCCGAGAACTCAGGATCCATCTCTTCCTGGCGGTCAGCATTGGTGCTTTTCTTCAGAAGGTTTCCCAGCAGTCGGTCCCTCAGTTCTCGCTCTTTCCTTTGGAGCTCCAAAGTACGGGCCTTCTCACCTTCCACACGCCGGAGCTCTTCCTCTTGCTGCCGCCGCCTCTCTTCTAGTTGCTGGAGCCGGGCGAGCTCCGCCTTCTGCTGCCGGGCGAGCTCCGCCTTCTCCTGCTCCAGCTGCTGCTGTTTTAGGGCCTGCGAGGAATACAGGAACCAGTGGGTCATTTATAACAGAGCAGAAATCAGCACATCAACAGATTTCTGAAGCCGTGCGTCATTCTGAGGTCGGCGTAATTCCTTTTGTAAGGAACTCCGGGTCTAAGCAGTTTTTCTCTATTGGAAAATGAACAGCGCTTTTGAAGAATCACTGATGCCGTGCTCTGTGGTAAAAAGAAAATGGTTCCAAACCTGATGCGTTTTGTCCTGTATGTGTTTTGTTCACTGCAATAGGGCTGAACAATTTGGGGAAAATCTCTAGTTGTGTTTTTTTTCGGACTAATACTGCGAATCTGATTTAAACTCCAATTAAATTCTATAAATTGAGCTTCAGGAAGACTGACTTTTTTTGGTTTGATGCTTGACCCCTGGATGTAGCGTGCCAGACTGCCAATAAGTTGTGGTTGTGATGTCATACATTTACATTTACAGCATTTGGCAGGCGCTCTTATCCAGAACGACTTACAGTTTGATCATTTTACACAGGTATGTGAAGGTAGTGTTAGGAGTCTTGCCCAAGGACTCTTATTGGTATAGTGTAGGGTGCTTGGGATTGAACCCCAGTCCACAGCGTAGACGGTACAGGTGTTACGTCATAGCACAAGGAGGTTTACAACTTAGGACGTTTTGATAATGTGGGCTATAATTTTTAATAAATTTCAGCTCTTGCGATTTAAAAAATTGCGATTTCAAAATAAAAACAATTAATCAGCCCTGACTACAAGTGTCACTCCTGTGAATTACAAGATCATTTGGCAGCTGAAGTAGAATTAACGCTATGTGCTACCGGCAAGCTGTGCACTGAAATGGCACTGCACTGAAGTAAGTCTACTATTCAACTTCATCACTGAAGTCTGAAACTGCCAAAGCCTCTAAACTACCACACTGGACAAAGCTTGCTGGTTTGTGTGGGGTATTTTGGTGAGGTCAGTCTTACGATGTCAATTCTGTGTGCAGCAGCGTCAGCCTGCATTCGACATTCATATTTTGACTCTTTACGAACCTTGCAATTCATATCCAGTGACACCTGAAGGAAAACCGTCCACAGGGTAAAACGTATCAGGTTTGGAATTGTTTGTTCATCTCAGGAGCAGCAAATTTCCAAAAATCCAATCATTTTTCCCACAGAGACAACCAGCTCAGACCTGGAGGTCCAAATATGGGCATAATGGTCAACAACGGCAAAATAAATATCTAAAATTCCACCTGGCATCTAATCTATGAAGTCTAATCTCATCCCTTTACCCTAAAGAACCAGCCGTTAGCTGACCTTGGCTCTGCTCAGCAGTTCAGCGATCAGTCGGATGGACTCGAGGTTCCTCTGGGCGAGCAGCAGCTTCCTCTCCTCTGTGGCGATCTTCAGGTGGAGCTTCTTCTGCTCTTCCTCCTGCTGCTTCTTCACCTTCTTCTGGTTCCTCTTCTCCTCCCGTTCCTTCAGCTTCTGCTCACGCCTCCTCAGCTTCTCCTCCCTCCTCTTCTCCTTCTCTTCTTCCTCCAGCTCACGCTGCTTCCTGCAAAGTAAGGGGTCGCAAACAAACCTGTGAGTAATGCAGGGGAACCTTGCGAATGGATCTGGAACAAGCAGTCTTTCAGAAATGTTCTGACTACTACCGAACTCTGCCTGTGTTTACATGCAAAGATGTTCTCCAATCAATAAAGTCAACAAATCAATAAAGTATCTATCTACATGCTCACTACAAGTAATCTGATGCGCATGCATAGAGAACTGCTTAGTGTAGACGTTGCCACGACGACCAGCATCACGTGAGTCCAGTCAGAGTGAGATGAGCAGCAGTGAGCAGCGCTTGTGTTTTTAATTGCTTTAAAATGATGTCAGACTCAGGAAAACGTCCTTCACATGTCCTTATTAAAGAAGGCCGAGAGGAAGACGTCGTGTTCTGAGACACATAAGCTGGACGTCCGTCCCACCGCCGTCTTTTAAAGATCAGAGCATAAACTTCGTCTCCTTAGTGTGTGTTGTTTATGAAGGGGGTGTATTGTGAAAATCAGATGATTTTTCTGGACTATCGCCTTAAACGTACCGTTCTTCCTCCTTGCGTCTCTCCTCCTCTTCCTTCTGTCGCCGTTTCTGCTCCTCTCTCTGCCTCTCCAGCTCCTGGAGCTTCAGACGCTCCTGCTGCCTCTTTTTCAGTGACGAGTCACTCAGGTGTTTGGTCGTGTCAAAGTTCACCTGAAAGCAAATAGATTATAGAGAGATTGGGATTATTTTGAGGCACCAACCTTCAATCAATCAAGCATACAATCAAAAGCAAATACTCAACCCAAAGCACCACAATTAAATTGTCAAGATGTAAACAGAGCGGTTCAGAGTGGCTCAGATTGGTTCAGACTGGTTCAGAGTGGTTCAGACTGGTTCAGACTGGTTCAGACTGGTTTGGTGTGAAACGCTCTGTTCTAGATAAACTTGCCGAGTCAGAATTATTCACAGTGGTGGTGATAGGAACCAGACGTCCTCCTCTAAAAGCTCCCTCACAGAAAGTTACTACAGTAAATGGTTATGAATTCACTGCCTGATGACTGAAACACTGTTTCATGATAGTTCTGAGGAGGTTTTTTGACTTAATCTTATTTTTCAAACCCATTCATGATGGAAGGACAAATGCAAAGCGTTATGAGGCAAAATGGACCCCAGTGAAACCTTATTTTTCCAGATTCACCATCATCAACATTATGTATAAAAGAGACACATGCAGGTTCACTAGTGGTTTTGGATAGTAAATAAAATGAGTTGTGAACGTTGCGACCCCTGGTTCCTATCACCACCACCGTAAAGAAATCTGAGCCATTTCACACCAAACCACTCTGAACGACTTTGCCTACACCTGAGCCATTAAAGAATTTTTTAAAAACTGGTGGAATTCCCCTTCAATACTACAAAGTTCTTTCAATAGAAAGTTTCTGAATGAAGAGCTACAGCTTCATTTACTGGGAACTGTCAGAAGTATCACGCTAATTAATAAGGGCTAGTAAAGCGCTGAACACTGTCTCCATCTCCTCTGCCTGTGAGGCTCCGTTCACCTTGGATTATAAAAGTGAGGCCCAGCTTTCCGAATGATCCTTGAAATGCTAATACAGCCTAGACAGACCTTCATTTAATTAAAAGCCCTTAAACAGAGTGTGCTTTGTTAGCTCTCTCGCTGAATAGGCTCCATCTCATTAAGGAGACCCAGTGGAGACAATCCGCTTGTGCTCAGGCTAACACCTCTTTCAGACTGTGTGCCTGAGGAAGTCCTGCAGTATAAAAATGAACTTCAATGCCAAAAGAGCCAGTGGTGGACAGTAACGAAGTAAATGTATTTCGTTTCTGTACTTAAGTAGTTTTTTGTGTATCTGTACTTTACTGAAGTTTTTCCATTTTGGGCGACTTTTTGCTTTCACTCCACTACATTTCAAAGTCAGATATCTCACTTTTTACTCCACTACATTATGAGAAATCTGACGTTCCTTTTGGTTTATGTGTGAATAAAAACGTAACATGTCAAAACGAAAGAAGCGCAAAGCAAGAACACCAATCAGGGCACAGCGGTCACTTTGTTTTGAGCTTGTTTTGACCTGTTGGTCATACCGACCCAGTGCAGCACACGGTTCAACGTCAGTGCAGCAGCGTAAAATTTTGGGAGAGTCTATTCAACATAAATGATGAACTAACCTAACTTTGTGTAAACAGACCACAATATAGAAATATGTACTCATATGCAGTTGTGACTGACGTGTCTTTATTCTGAATTTATACAAACACATTTCATTTTATAGTAAATTAGTTTGGTCTAGTTTATGTTTATGAACAGAGACCTACAGATGCAGTTTAGTAAAGGAAACTCATTTGTGAATCTGAGTTTAAAGTTTTTATTAAACTTAAACTTGGAACTAAGTTCAAATAAATCTTAAACTGAAACTTTGCTTGTTTGTAAAAAGTGATTTCAGAGCCACTCAGTTCTACCTGATGGAAACTGTTCGCCTTCAGTGTTTTGTGTTTATGATAATTTTAATAGACATCAGCGTCACTAATTAATGACCTATTAAAAGACTGGTTTACCAAGAGAGACACTGGAGTATTTTCACCTAAAATGAGTTAATGAAGCGAGTCTTGTTACAAAAATGATAACAGGACATCAGAGCCATAATTAATCTTTCAGTACTTTTACTTTTGATACTTAAGTACATTTGAAGGCGAATACTTTTGTACTTTTACTCAAGTGGAGGTCTAAAGGGAGGAACTTTTTACTGGAGTAATATTTATATCTCTACTTTAACTCGAGTACATGGTTTGTGTACTTCGTCCTCCACTGAAAAGAACAGGGAGCCTTCCTTCAAGCAGGGGTCGCAACCCAAATGTTAAGAAGAGCCATTTTGCACACTTTGTGTAAAACACACTTTGGGAGCCACAACATTTTATGTCCATTGTACCATCTTTACTGTAAACATGTCTCAGTGCGTGCTGATGTACTAGTATAGGCAAAAAATATAAAACAAACAAAAACGCAGCTCTGCTTAAAGCTTTAGCTCAGCTATAGCTGCTTTTCTCACATCTCCAGCAGGAAACCTTTCCACAAAAGTAGAACAGTTTCTTGTAAAATGTCTCTCAATGTTAAATTTTTTACGAGGCTGAAGTCGCTTCTCGTTCGCCAGCTTCTTGTTCGAATTTTTCCGTTCCATTTAAGGTGAAACAGGAAAATCTGAACAAGAAGAATAGTACGCTAAGTTTGTGGCACTTTTAAATGTTTAACAATTGTTATTAAGCTTATGTTTTAACATTTATTGAGTGAAGAACAGTTGATGAAGTTATTAGCTGGCTACGTTAATCAGCTAGCGTAATCAGCTCAATTCAACAACTTTAATCTTAAGCCCTGTATTTAACGTTACTGCATGTAGTGTATAAAGACGAACTCAAGGTGGCAGTAGCTAACCTTAACGCCGCACGCCACTGCTTTGCCGTCATCTCCCTTGTACATCAGCTTCATCCCCCTCAGAGTGTCCATGGCTTTCACGAAGCCGGTGTGGTCCTCATACTGCACGTATCCCTCAAAGTTAAGATGTCCACCAAACGAGAAGGTGTTGAAGTTCTTGCCGGTCATCTCCTCCCTGTAGGGGTCCAGCATTGGGATGTCGACGTTGCGGATCTTGCCGAAGCTTTCGAAAACGGCCTTCAGGACGGATTCCGAAGGCCTGTCTGAGGAACTGTCCTTCTGGGCGAACCACTTGCACGGAAGTCCCTCCAGGTGGATGGTGTCTGGACGCTCCCCGGGAACCGTCTCGTTCATATCCTTGGCGTCCCTGAAGAAGGAGTCCCAGTCGTGGCGGGTGGGGAAGTCCACCTTGTTCTCGCCTGCCCGGACCTTCAGGATGTCGGTGAAGCCACTCAGCTTGATGCTCTTGCCGTCCAGCTTGGCCAGGAAACTCTTGACGATGCCCTTGTTCTCCACCTCGCCCTCGAAGCGAATGAAGTCCATGGTGCTTTTGGAGATGCGCAGCGAGGAAAACTGCTCCGGCTGGACCATGCTCTTCAGCCTTTCCATTACCTCCCAGTTCGAGATGGACTTGCCGGGCATTTTTAGCTGGGGAAGGGCCACGCTGACGGTCATCTTGGCTATGGGCTTCAAGTAGAGGTTGTATTCAGGACACAGCTGCACCGCTTCCGACGTGTCATGGACGATAGTGGTCATTTTGGCAGCTGCTGTAAAGTGAAAACAGAATAGATGACACGAATAATAACAATATCAATGGAAAGCTTATAGAGGCTGAAGAGGACCTTCGTGATCGTTAACACAGTTTGTTTCACTTACAATATAAGATAAATCTGTAAATCACAGACCACCAAACTTTCAGTTGGCATTCAGAGTGGTTTGGTGTGAAACGCTCTGTTCTAGAGAAACTTAGAGTCAGAACTGTTCACAGTGGTGGTGATAGGAACCAGACGTCCACCTCTAAAAGCTCCCTCACAGAAAGTTACTACATGAAATGGTTATGAATTCACTGCCTGATGACTGAGACACTGTTTTATGATAGTTTTAAGAACATTTTGGCCTAAAAATCCATTCATGGTGGAGGGATACATAATATACAGGGTACTGTGAGGCAAAATAGTCCCCAATGAAAACAAATTATTTCAAATTTTCCATTATTTTCCCATCATCAACATCCATATAAACTCAGAAGACTCTGAGATAGTAAATAAAATGTCTATATCTGTGTTGTAGTCATGGCGACCCCTGGTTCCTATCACCACCACTGTAAAGACATCTCAATAAGCTTCTCTAGAGCAGAACATTTCAAAACAAACCACTCTGAACGACTGAATGAATCTCAATGACTGAATTACACAGAAATTTTGAAAAATCTGTGGAATTCCATATTTTCACCACCTGAGGCCAGCAAAAATCTGGCCAATCACCTTGAAAAACCACCATAGACCCTCTGAAACCGGCTATAAAAGTTGGTCTAAGCTGGACTTTTTGGCAATGGTTTTACAGGAACGTTATTATTTGCGATCAGCTGACCACTACACACTTGAAAAAAATGGTTCTTAAAGAGTTCTTTAGTAAAAGCAAGGCTTCTTTATAGAGCTCATGGTTGAAATGCATGTTTAAATGGTTCTTTACATGGTGAAAGGGTTCTTCAGATTGATGTAGAATGTGTTGTATGTGGTTCCATACAGAACCTTTTTGAAACACACATCAGGCACAACATCATGACCACCTCCTTGTTTCTACGCTCATTGTCCATTTTATCAGCTCCACTTACTCTATAGGTGCACTTTGTAGTTCTACAGTTACAGACTGTAGTCCATCTGTTTCTCTGATACTTTGTTAGCCCCCTTTTACCCTGTTCTTCAGTGGTCAGGACCCCCATGGACCCTCACAGAGCAGGTACTATTTGGGTGGTGGATCATTCTCAGCACTGCAGTAACACTAACATGGTGGTGGTGTGTTAGTGTGTGTTGTGCTGGTACGAGTGGATCAGACACAGCAGTGCTGCTGGAGTTTTAAACACTGTGTCCACTCACTGTCCACTCTATTAGACACTCCTACCCTGTCAGTCCACCTTGTAGATGTAAAGTCAGAGACGATAGCTCATCTGCTGCTGCACAGTTTGTGTTGGTCATCCTCTAGTCCTTCATCAGTGGTCACAGGACGCTGCCCACAGGACGCTGTTGGCTGGATATTTTTGGTTGGTGGACTATTCTCAGTCCAGCAGTGACACTGAGGTGTTTAAAAACTCCAGCAGCACTGCTGTGTCTGATCCACTCACACCAGCGCAACACACTAACACACCACCACCACGTCAGTGTTACTGCAGTGCTGAGAATGATCCACCACCCAAATAGTACCTGCTCTGTGAGGGTCCATGGGGGTCCTGACCACTGAAGAACAGGGTAACAAAGTATCAGAGAAACAGATGGACTACAGTCTGTAACTGTAGAACTACAAAGTGCACCTATATAGTAAGTGGAGCTGATAAAATGGACAATGAGCGTAGAAACAAGGAGGTGGTCATGATGTTATGCATGATCGGTGTATACATATGTAGAAAACACATCCTCCATCAATCTGAAGAACCATTTGGCCAAGAAAGACCTATTTAAGCTCATAAACCAACTCATGGTTCTAAACAGAACCATTGCTTTTAAATGGGCTCAATAACCATACAGACTATACAGCAATGGAACGACAAAGAGCACAATTACAGCTCATAAACATCAGGAACGTCGTTCAGAAGACGAGTATGGGGCAAAACTGGGATCTTATACCTGAAAGGAAAGGATAAAGACAGAGATATATAAATAAAAACACTGATAAACAGACACAGCGCTGTGGCTGCGCGCGGCCAACTGACCATCCTTTGCTTCAACCGCGCGTTTAGCGGACACTGTCGCGTTAATAACCGTTACACTGAATTATCGACGGATTACCAACCTTCTTAACAACGCAGCTGCGGATCTGGGCTGTTTTTGTTTGTTTGTCTGTTTGTTTTTTTTACATATTTAGGCCTGAAAGCTTCCACTGACAGAGCTGCGGGGTGAATCCGGCCTCAACTGACTAGCGGCCGGCGTTAGGTACTACACTTCAAAATAAAAGCTCCAATGAAAAGGAAATTCTCTGTGATCGGAAAGATCAGTCGTATCGATACTCTTCTATTTGCCTGTAAATGTAGATTAGCGCAGTGTATACGAGGCAAACGCTGCAGACATAGTTTCAGATGTGAAATGAAACGCGGGGATTGTCGTATATCTATGTGATAATACAGGGGCGACTTCAATAGGAACAATTCAAATTAATCTGACATAAAGCTATTATAAATATAATTTAAATCATTTAAATAATATATTATATTTAATAAGTGTTCTATTAACATAATAATATAGAAGTGAGTTCTTATACAATTAAACCTGCACCAGAAGGACTTTTACGTAGACATTTTTTAACGATTTTTACGACTCCAACATCCGGTTCTGACACAGAGGATTGTGGGATATGTAGGCAGTGAAGGATACATCGACACTGCCTTCAAAAAACGGCCAAACGACGGAACCGCAGCAGGCAGAGCTGACTGAGCGCCACCAAGTGGTGACTGAGTAATTAGAAGTACACAACTGATTTCAGTGTTCAAACAATATGTGTCTATTACGGTCCAGAGAGGCCGTGAGGTAGTTATAATTTTCTGGAATAACGAGTTACTTATCTTGTGATCTCAAGATGACAAAGTCATTATCTTGAGATAACGAGTTATTTATCTTGTTATCTCAAGATAACAAAATTGTTATCTTAAAATAACGAGTTACTTATCTTGTTATTTCAAGATAACAATCTAGAAAATTACAGCAACAGTTCATGGCCTCTCCAGAGTTCCATAGCTTATCTATCTATCTACCTATCTGTATATCTGTACACATACACACATACAAGCATATAAGAAGAATATATTTGTTTTTTATTATGAAATAGATATTCAGTATTAATCAAGATACAACTTTATTATTATTATTATTATTATTATTATTATTATTATTGTTTCTGTTTCAATTCCTGCATTCCATGTTCACATTTGACCACTTTTATTTTGATAACTTGTAAAAAACAAATAAAAAAATAGATATAGGTACATTTTAATTTCAAACTGTGTTTTGTTTTTGCAATTCTTCTTATTTTTCCTATTATTATTATTATTATTATTATTATTATTTCAGACTTTCTAATCAGGCTTGTGGAGCAAAAGATGCTAAAAACAATAAACTGTCCTCTGTTAAACAGAGATTACTCTGTATTTCACTGTCAAAAATGACTTATTTCATCTGTTTAGATGCTTCATGTGACAAACACTCAAACAGACAAATGGCCTGTTAGCAGTAAATCTGCTTATTTCTCACTGATAAATATTTCAGTGTGTTTATGTGTTTTTCATTATGTTTACAGTTTCTGCCAAGAGAAATGAGAGCAGAAACACTTGCTAGTGTGTCAGACGGCACAAATATGAAGTGCACAAAGTGAACAAATGCCATCATAATGGTGCAATAACTGCTTAAGCTGGCACAGAAACTGGCACAGAGGCTGGCACGGTTTCCACGGGAGCTGTGTAGGAATTTATGTAACAAGAACTCACTGCAGATGTAGGTCACTGCCCACACAACGTCCACTGATATGGAAATAAACCATATTTAAAGGGGAACTCCAGCTATTTTTCTAAATTTCTGCATAATTCAGTGGCTGGGATGTAAACAAAGCCAAACAGAGTGATATGATTGGAAACCTTCACTGTAGAGAAACTTACACACTCTGTTTTCTTTACAGTGGTGGTGATAGGAACCAGGGGTTGCCATGACTACACTTGAGTTGCAAAATACAAAGTATTCTGCAATTTGCTTGAAACTCAAGTGCGACTGTTGCAAGCATCTCAACTTAATTAAACAAGTTTCATGAAACAGGCAATCACAAGCAAACAGAACGCATCACATGAACACGTTGACCGACATCCTGTCAAATGATTGATTTTACCGGATCACTGGACAAGAGCGATAAAACAGAAGACGGTTTATTGGACACTTGAAAACGAGATCCTCCTGATCATCTTCATGTAAGGCTGGTAGTTTTCATTTTGTCAGTTTTCCGAGCCACAACACACACGAGTTTCTCACAGCTAAAGTTTCTGTAACAAGCTGCTTTAACTAGCCAGCTAATGCTAACCAATGAACCCGATGAACTTGTGCTTCTAGGACAGGATGAACGAGATATCAAGGATGTTATACCTGTAATGGCTACTTAAACATTTTCAAAGGCTTAACATACACACAACCTATAAAAACGTGTATATAGTGAAGAACCTGGACAGATTGATAAAAGACTATTGCACAGATATAGGAGAAAAGAACCGCAATGACAACTGGAAAAAATACAAAGATGATAAAAAAAATGCTGCAGATACATAAATTACACCTCATGGATGACTCTAGTGAGAAAGGTACAGTGTACCAAAAATATGAGCTGATAATAGTAGTGGAGTAATCAAATATGCTGGTTTGATTGCTTTCGAATAGTTTTGTTTAGCTGTTGAGTTGCACAGAAATGAGGTTGCAGGTAGAGGCCTGCACTACCGCGAACTCCCGCGAGACCCGACGCAATACTTTGGGCACAGGACGATATTTTCAGTGTTGCTCACGGGAGCGGGCGGAAATTAGATCCCTTCAGGCGGGAGCGGGAGGAAACACGCATATAGAGAAATCCCGCAAATTAATTAATAGGCTAAATAAAGTAGAACGATCACTAAAAATATATGTAAACAGTATAAAATGATAACAGTAAAACAGTTAAAATAAATGAAGTCATTCTCGAGCAACCGATCACGTGAACAACACGCAAATACTCATAGGCCTGATTCACACATACTGTCTGTGTGGTGCGGCAGAGTCGCACTGGAGCGTCGGGGTGTTTAGAGAGGCGAGTGTCACAAAGCTAAATACACTGAAATAAGTCATGAAAATCAATGAAAAATAAACAGAAGATCGTATAAAAACGTTAAAAGGTGATTTTTATGTAACTCACGATGAAATAAACATTCCGTGCAGCAGACAGATTTCCCGGCTGGTCTACCAGGCTTGAAACATTTTCTCTAATCAGAAGTCAGAATGCTGTCCATGATAAACAGATATACCGTGTACATTTATAAATGATATTTTTAATGAACAGAGTGACTTAAGTGACCATTTATCCATCTGGCAGGAGGGGGTCAAATCGTTTCGGTTGCGGGTGGGAGCGGGAGAAATGATGACGATATTCTGTGGGAGCGGGATGAAATCTCGTGGGGGCTGGCGGGAGCGGGACTGAAAGTTGCAGGCAACTCACAGCATGCAGTTGCATGAAAGTTTCACCGTGTAAAGCCAGTCTAGCAGTCTAGCCTTCTGTTCTTGTTAAGGTAATTATATCACGTGTCTTCAGAACGGACTTTATATACCAACAACATAGGCTAAGATTTTCGTAGTTGCTAACAGTCTTCAATATTCAGAATTCTTTACATTGTCTGTAGACATTGAGCACCGAAGTTAAGCAATGTCATGTTAATGTGCTGCTGACGGGTTTCATATTTCCAGAATATTCAGTCCAGAGGTGCAAGGCTGATGGGTCAGATTCCTCCAGTCAGATGAATAATTAAGACACAGCAGATGGTCAGCTATTATATAACCCACGGAACAATCAATACAGCATGAATGATTCATCGAAGAACATGTGAGGAACTGTGTAGAGGTGCAGGTAACACTGTCAGCAGAATAATCAGCTCCACTCATGGGTGTTTTTGAGTTTGATGTGGCTTTATTTTCTTCCACAGGGGGACGATTGCATTTCACAATGTTATTGTTACAAAGAAGCACCGTAAAATCTGATTAATTGCTAGAAATACATAAAAAGTGCATTGAAATAAAACCATTCTGAAAAAAGACAGTTAAAACTATAAAGCAGCGGTGATTAGTGGGCTGTTTGTGCGTCAGATTGTTCTGTAATTGTTCCATTTGACTGAAAGCCCTACTTGCAACATGAATCTTGTACACAAACGGCTCAGATTTTCACATTTTATTTCACAACAAAACATATCCATGTGCAGGGTTTGTGTTAAAGCAGCATTCCACAAGGGCTGAACGACTGCAATGTTTCTGATCAGTACTGTGACTATTTTCCATAAAATTAAAGTTTTTTTGTTGCCATTTTTAGAGGCTTTAACACGGCCAGAATACCAGCTCACAATCTTTACATGATTAGGCTACATTTCCCCACTTAAAACTTGCTAAGACAATGTTAAACAACGTAGTGTTTAATGAAGTTGGCCTGACAAAGTCAACTTACTGTTCTTCTTCCTTCTTTTTCTTCTTATTTTATGCAGTTTTTGTACTAGAACCACAAAACTTGGCGTGATTGTAGAGCATATAAGGGAACAGTCTGCTTTTGGGACCCATCGCACATACAGATTCATTCCATACAGCATTCATTCCAACACAATTTTACCTTAGCACCCACCTAGATACCATAGCAACAGCCTAGCAACATCTGGATTACCATAGGAATGATCTATCAACACTTAAGCAACCTCCTGGGATACCATAGCAACAGCCCGGCAACAGGTTAAGAACCACCTGGGGTACCATGGCAACTGCCTAGCAAAATCTTAGCAACAATTTTGGATACCATAGCAACCACCTGGGATACCATAGCAACAGCCTAGCAACACCTTAGCAACCACCTGGAATATAGGAATGGTCTATCAACATTTAAGCAATCCCCTGGGATACCACAGCAACAACCTAGCAACACATTAGCAACCACCTGGAATACCATAGTAATGGTCTATCAACATTTCAGCAATCCCCTGGCCTGCAGTAGCAACAGCCTGGCAACAGGTTAAGAACCACCTGGGGTACCATGGCAACTGCCTAGCAAAACCTTACCAACAACTTTGGACACCACTGCAACAATGTCAGATACCACAGCAATGGCCTAGCAACACTTTAGCAAACACCTGGGGTACCATGGCAACTGCCTAGCAAAACCTTACCAACAGTTTTGGATACCATAGCAAGCCCCTGGGGTACCATAGCAACAGCCTAGCAACGCCTTAGCAACCACCTGGAATACCATAGTAATGGTCTATCAACATTTAAGCATTCCCCTGGCATGCAGTAGCAACAGCTTGGCCACACTATAGCAACCACCTGGACTATAGGAATAGTCTATCAACACTTAAGCAAGCCCCTGGGGTACCATGGCAACTGCCTAGCAAAACCTTAGCAACAACTTTGGATACCATAGCAACAACTTTGGATACCATAGCAACTACCTGGGATACCATAGCAACAGCCTAGCAACACCTTAGGAACCACCTGGGATTCCACAGCAACATCTTTGTCAAGCCAACTTAAAATTTGTTCTCTAACTTTCTCCCTCTAAAAAACTTTAGTTATTGTTTTGTACTTTGTAGTTCTACAGTTACAGACTGTAGTCCATCTGTTTCTCTGATACTTTGTTAGCCCCCTTTTACCCTGTTCTTCAGTGGTCAGGACCCCCATGGACCCTCACAGAGCAGGTACTGTTTGGGTGGTGGATCATTCTCAGCACTGCAGTAGCACTGACGTTTTGGTGCTGCTGCACAGTTTGTGTTGGTCATCCTCTAGTCCTTCATCAGTGGTCACAGGACGCTGTTGGCTGGATATTTTTGGTTGGTGGACTATTCTCAGTCCAGCAGTGACACTGAGGTGTTTAAAAACTCCAGCAGCACTGCTGTGTCTGATCCACTCACACCAGCACAACACACACTAACACACCACCACCACGTCAGTGTTACTGCAGTGCTGAGAATGATCCACCACCCAAATAGTACCTGCTCTGTGAGGGTCCATGGGGGTCCTGACCACTGAAGAACAGGGTAAAAGGGGGCTAACAAAGTATCAGAGAAACAGATGGACTACAGTCTGTAACTGTAGAACTACAAAGTGCACCTATATAGTAAGTGGAGCTGACAAAATGGACAATGAGTGTAGAAACAAGGAGGTCGTCTTAATGTAATTCCTGATTGGTGTATCCACTTAACTATGCAGAAATTTTGGAAAACTGGTGGAATTCTAATTTAAAGGGATTTTAGTAAGAACCCTAAGCAGTGAGAACCTACCAGCAGTCCAAAGAAACAGAGTATAAAGTTGTATAATTGAGACGTCATTATGAAACAGCAGCGTACAGCACCTTCATCACTGATCAGCCACATTAATATCAGCCAATAACAGTCATGATTGTTATTCACAGATCGTCCTCTTGGAGTTATGAGGTTCTGTCTGGCCTTTTTGTCACTCTGAATCTCTATATAGAACCATCTACAGCACATTCTCTATCAATCTGAAGAACCACTTCACCGTGCAAAAAACCCTTTAATCATGCAAAGGGTTCTCTGAATGTTCATGGTTTTATATAGAACCATTTTCTTTACTAAAAAACCCTTGAAGCGCCATCATTTTTAAGAGTGAAGCCTGACATACTATCAAGAACCCTTTTGGGTGCTATAAAGAACCCTTTTCAAAAAGGTTCTATATAGAATCATCCACAGCACATTCTCCATCAATCTGAAGAACCCGTTCATGATGCAAAGAACCCTTTAATTGTGCAAAGGGTTCTCTGAATGTTCATGGTTCTATGTAGAACCATTTTCTTTACTAAAGAACCCTTGAAACACCCTCTTTTTAAGAGTGAAGGCTGACATCGTATCAATAGAAGAACGCTTTTTGTTGCTATATAGAACCATCCACAACACATTCTCCATCAATCTGAAGAACCCGTTCATGATGCAAAGAACCCTTTAATCGTGCAAAGGGTTCTCTGAATGTTCATGGTTCTACATAGAACCACTTGCTTTACAAAAGAACCCTTGAAGCGCCATCATTTTAAGAGGGAAGTCCGACATCGTATCAAGAGCAGAACCCTTTTGGGTGCTATATAGAACTTTTTCGAAAGGAACGCGGACAGAACCTTATAATTCCAAGAGGGTGATGTATCTGCTGATACACATCTAAAGCCACAAGTATAGCAACATCAGATCAGTCAAAAGATGGAAGACAAAGGAGCGTTAAAGGCACCTGATTCCAACTTCACGTCCAGACTGTCCAAGATTGTTCCATGCAATGAGCGAAGCAGAACAGAAGAACGTTTAAAACAGGCGTCGTGCATAATAAATGGCCAACGTGATCCTCTGGAGAACAGCTCCAGTCTGTTTCCTGCACAGGGACTAAGCCCAGTCTTGGATTAAACCGCAATGCCAGTGGTCATTCTCCTCTGAAAATCCTTTTTAGGCTTAAACTACACACTTAAAAATGATGGTTCTTCAGAGGTTCTTCAGTAAAGAAAATGGTCTATATAGAACCTTTCTGAAAAGGGTTCCACATAGCATCAAAAAGGTTTCTTCTGTTGTAACAACACTCAACACAAGACGGTGCTTTAAGTGTTCTTTAGTAAAGAAAATGGTTCTATATACAAACATGAACACTAAAAGAACCCTTTACATGATTAAGGGGTTCTTTGCATCATGAAAGGGTTCTTCTTTGATGGAAAATGTGCATGAATGTGCTACAGACGGTTCTATATAGATCTTCTATTGTTAGAAGCTTGACACCGTAACAGAAGAACCCTTTTACGTGCTCTATAGAACTATTTTCGAAAAGGTTCTATATAGAACCATCTACAGCACATTCTCTATCAGTCTGAAGAACCATTTCACCATTTCTTTAATCATGCAAAGTGTTCTTTGAATGTTCATGGTTCTACATAGAACCATTTTCTTTACTAAAGAACCCTTGAAGAACCATCTTTTTGAGAGTGAAGCCTGACATCATACCAATAGAAGAACCCTTTTCAAAAAGGTTCTATATAGAACCATCTACAGCACATTCTCCATCAATCTGTAGAACCCGTTCATGATGCAAAGAACCCCTTAATCATGCAAAGAGTTCTTTGAGTGTTCATGGTTCTATATATAAACATTTTCTGTACTAAAGAACCCTTGAAGAACCATCTTTTAAAGAGTGAAGCCTGGCATCATATCAATAGAAGAACACTTTTCAAAAAGGTTCTATATAGAACCATCTACAGCGCACACTACATCAGTCTGAAGAACCCATTCATGATGCAAGAACCATTTAATCATGCAAAGAGTTCTTTGAGTGTTCATGGTTCTATATAGAACCATTTTCTGTACTGATGAACCATCTTTTTGAGAGCGAAGTCTGACATTGTACCAATAGAAGAACTCTTTTCAAAAAGGTTCTATATAGAACCATCTACAGCACATTCTCCATCAATCTGTAGAACCCGTTCATGATGCAAAGAACCATTTAATCATGCAAAGTGTTCTTTAAATGTTCATGGTTCTATACAGAACCATTTTCTTTACTAAAGAACCCTTGGGAAAGGTACACTGTTACTAATTAACTCTATTAATAGGTCTGAGGTCATTATTCATGGGCTCATAAAGTGACTTCATAGCATCTCCAACGAACTTTCTGCATAATTAAATGGTTGAGATGTGAACAAAGTTATTCAGAGTGGTTTGATGTGAAATGGTTCATTGTAGAGAACCTTACCGACTCGGATCTCTTTACAGTGGTGGTGACAGGAACCAGGGGTTGCCATGACTACAACACAAATATAGACATGTTGAATCTAAAAAAATGTGTTTTCTTTGGGGATTATTTTGCTTCACAACACCCTGCACAGCCCTGCAATGGACTGGAGGCCTGTCCAGCTCGTATCCTGCCTTCCGGCCAATGACCACTGGGATAGGCTCCAGCACCCTCTGTGAACCAGGAGGATAAGCAGCTTAATGAATGAATGAATGAATGAATGAATGCATATATTTTTAATGGATTTTAAAAATACATGAGACCAAAACTTTCTCAAAACTTCAGATACTAAAATACTTTAAAATACAATGAACAAATGAAAATAAGAATGAGTTATATGTTATATGTTATACACTCAGAGTCATGAACCTCTTCGGACGTCTGGTTCCCATCATCACCATTGTAAACAGTTCTGACTCTAGAACAGAGCGTTTCACACCAAACCACTCTGAATGACTTTGTTTACATCTCAACCATTTAATTATGCAGAAATTTAAAAAATGAATGGAGTTTCTATATAATATAAAAGTGTCAAGTGCGTTGGTCCAGCAGCGAAGTGCTAAAGTGTTCAGATTCCAGTGGGTCCCATATTCACAGGGGCTGATCTAATTTACGACTCATGCACTCGTATCTGTTAAAAGCCCTAAGTGCTGGGACGTACGGGCGTATCCGTGTCTGAGCCTATTAGCAAACAGGCAGATTAGTGCCACGTGAATGATTCTGGGGGTGAAACAATGCTACACTGTCAGTGCCTAAGAGGTAAAAGCGGAATTTTCTCTGGGAACAATTTTGGGAAAGGCATTCCACCATCCTCGCCCTAGCCAAAGAGGTTGGACACGGGTCTGGACTTGACAGGGCTCGTCAGGGACCCATCCCCTTCCTCAGTCTCTCTGAAAGAGGTGCTGTGAACAATCTGGGTCCTGACCCTGCCTCGGTTTAGCTTGATCCTGCCGATGGAAGCCTTGCGGTACAGCGACTTGGGCTTGGCCAGCAACTTGGGCTTCTCTGTGTCCAAGTCCCCACAAGCGCCTACGATGTCTCGGATGTCGCCTGCGACTGCAGGGTTGAGGTACTGGGAAGGCTTCTTCCCGCTGTAGTCCCTCGCCTCTAGGTCCGCATCATAAGCTCCCACCAGCAGCTTCATGACCTCCACGTGGTTGTGCATGGCCGCCAGGTGGAGAGGCGTGTACCCGGCGCTGGAGCGGGCGTTCACGTTGACCGCCACGGAGTGCTGCTGGGCGAAGGTGACCAGCAATGCAAGCAACTCATGCTTGCCCTGCTTGGCTGCCCAATGCAGGCAAGTGAAGCCGGTGACAAAGTCCTTCTTGGTGACGAGACCTGGCTCGCAAACCAGCAGCCGCTGAAGGCTGTCCCATTCCCCGTCACTAGCGCACATCATCCACTCGTGCTCTAGTGGGTCTAGAGTCACCGAGGCGCAGTCCTCCTCCACTGAGCTAGAATCCCCTTCGCTTTTCAGAGAATCCCACCGTTTGGCCACCATCTGGCCTTGCGAGCTCCTGCGCACCAGGTTGCGGCGCACCTGCGGGGAGCTGCTCATCATCAGCTCTACGAAGCTCCTTCGGCTGCTTCTTGGGGTACCGACCTCCATGCCTACCGAGTCCACTTCGTCCGAGGTGGCCAGGAGGCTGCGCTGCGAACCCCGAGAGGTTCTCCGTCGGCCCACCAGCTGCACCGCGGGGCCTCCTCTGCAAGCCGCCGCCTCGTGATCCGCATCGCCGGCCAATTTCACAGAAGTGGTGACCTCAATTTCACGGCTCTCCTTTTCAGGGCCTCGTACCTTCTGCGCAAAGCCACAACCGCCATCTGAGGCGGTTACTTCAACCAGTGCAATGTCCGATATGCATACGTCCACATCCATGCCCCTTTCCCCATCATCAAGCATCCTGTGCCTCGACGGCGTGTCGGATTTCTGACCAAGCTTCCCGTTTCCATCACTGTCCTCCTTCCCAGGAGACGGCACACCTTGTTTAGGATTAGGGTCATGTGTAGCTCCTGGCATCCTCCTGTACTTCTTCTTCAAGCACACCACCTTCTCCCCATTCTCCTGCCTGACATAAGCAACGTTGTCCACAAACCGTTTGAAGGACTCCTTTTCCACGTTTCTGTCCTTTTCTCCAGCGAGAAACACTTTAAAATGCTCTATCAACTCCTTATTCCTCACACGCCCCCCTTTCTCAATTAGAAACTCCAGCACGGACTCCTGGCTGCACTCCGTCGCCATCCTGCGTGATGTTTATTAGAGAAGCGAAAACAATCGATCTTCTTCTATATTCATCACATCCCGTCCTCCTTAATCAGACGTTACGTTCTCCGTTTCTCCAAAAATGTATCAAAGCGCCAGGCAGGGGTCGCCGTGCGGTTCCTTCGGCGGCTTGAAGAGTGAAACTGGCCTCCTTCGTCCTCCATTTTGGCTCCCACCTTCGCCGCTACGCAATCAGCGCGGCGCCTCAGGCCGGAGCCAAAATGGAGTCCGTTTGCATAGCAACAACACGAACGGGTGGAGGCGAAGCCGGGACGTACCACTTTCACTCGTGTCTGGGGGGGTGCTCGGAGCGAACCTGTTTTCAGAAAACGTCAGCGAGGAGTGGTTTCTTTTAGCTTTCATGATCTAAAGTGAGTGTTTTGAAAATGCAAATATTTACAAGAACCCAATTCTAACATGTGCGCTGTTAAAAGACGGATTTAAACTGATGAACTGATGAGCGTCTTACCTACTTTTGAATGACCTCTCCCGCTCCCTCCGCTCGCATTGTCTGTCAGCTGGGATAAAGTTGGAGCCGTTGCCCATCTGCTGAGTAAACTGAGCTCAAAACTTTAAAACTAAAGCCGTTCTCCGCCTTACAGATGTCGTCCTCGGATGTTTGTCGCCAAATGGTACGTTTATGGTCACTTTGAGGTCACTACGAGCATTTTACTCACTAAACGAGCTTGAGTTGGTGGGCGTGGGAGGTGTGGTCCGGGATAAACTAACCGTTACTGCCGAAGGTGATGGAGAACTGAGTGAAAAGTAGCTTCAGTTATTCTCATATTTTTAAGATTCTTAGCTAAATAATTCAGTCAAAACCTTCCTCTGCTGTCCGAGTAGGCAAATTTTTCAAGTTGTAACACTAAATAGAGTAACATTATTGTTAGCTAGGCAGTGAGAAACAGAAATAACGTTAATATTTCTCTAAACTTCTAATATAAAAGTCATTGAGGAGATTACTAACCTGGGGGAGAAGCTGAAGAGCTGCTGAATGAGCATCTAACACTGCTTTGGACTGTTTAACCTCTTATTCCCCAGGGTATATTTTGGTGTGTCCATCTGAATTTACATGACCAAATCATAAGGCAAATTATTCAGTAGCTGCATGAAATAAATGCAAATTTTTATTTTATATATTTATTTATTTAAATTTATTTATTTATTTGTAAATCTCCCCTCAAATTAACAGAACATGTGTTTTATGATCTACACATATTGCTATATGCTTACAGTTTACTACTGAAAGCCAAAAATCTTAGACGCTCTTTGTATTATTTTATAAAACTAGTTTTTACAGAGCAGATCACTGAAGAGACGCCATCTGTTTATAGTTTATAGCCCAGATTTGTGGAAAAATGGGTCGACTTTCAGTAGAAAAAAATTGTGAGTTCAGCTTCTTTTATTATAAGGGTTTAAAATGACATCACCATCTATTTGACTGGAAAGAAGACAGTTACAGCTCTCATACGACCCCCACCTTTAGAATGTAGCTTATGAAATATGGAAGTTATGAAGAATCTGGCGAAGTGCGTTTGGAACCACGGAGTTGAAGAGGTTAAGAGTCAAATACAGATTAAACTGTACTCATTTCACCAAGAAGTCCCACTTACAGAAAACTTAAGTGACTAATTAATTGTTTATTTTGCTTATTTAATCAAAAGTAAGGCAAATAAACTGCTAGAATGTCCCTTTTGTTAATGTTAAATGGAATTTCCACCAATTATTTAAAATGTCTGGCTAATGATTGAGAGATTCAGAGTGGTTTGGTGTGAAATGGTTCAGATGCCTTTACAGTGGTGGTGATAGGAACCAGGGGTCGCCATGACTACAACACAATATAGACATTATATTTACTATCCAGACCCACCAGTGAACCTACACGAGTCTTCTGAGTTTATATGGAATGATGATGATGGGAAAATAGTGGAAAATCTGGAGAAAAAAAGTTTTTGGGGACTATTTTTCCATCACAAAGCTATCATAAAACAGTGCGTCAGACGTCAGAGAGCATATCTAACCATTTCATGTAATAATCTTTCTGTGAGGGAGCTTTTAGAGGTGGACGTCTGGTTCCTATCACCACCACTGTGAACAATTCTGACTCTGTAAGTTTCTCTAGAACAGAGCGTTTCACACCAAACCACTCTGAACCACTCTGTTTACGTCTCAAACAATTAATTATGCAGAATTTTTGAAAAATCAGTGGAGTTGCCCTTTAAGATTCTTAAGTAATATAATAGAAATCATCCCTCTTCTGAGCAAAATAGACAAAAGTTTGCAAGTTATAGCATTAAAACTATGAAGATTTATTAGCCAGTCAGTGAGAAGCAGAACTGATGTTTTATTTACTTCTACTAAAAAGGTAATAAATAATATTAAGTAATATGTATGCACAATGTTTTATTCACTTGTTTTTTTATTTGTAAAGCACGCTATATAATTGATTATCACAATTTTGATCTAGGAAATATTGTGCTAATTATTTTTATATATATCACCCAGTCATATAGTGCAAGTATAGCGTTATAGTGAGAGAACACTGAACAAAAACATGACAAGATATTGAGGGATATAATGCTGCAGTACAGCATATTACATAACATGAGATATTACATGACATGACATCCTCCCTAACACTGAAAATAGCAGAAATTTGGGAGATGCCTTCCTTATGAAATATGGGCTGTCTGCCTTACTGTGTGATAGATGGTTTGTTTTCATTAAACACACACGGACTGAATGTGGGAAGATCTCAGTGTCGTCATTGTAGTTTGTTGATTACAGCACAGAACGTGTCAAGTGGCCGCAACAATGACCTCCTTTAGAGTGAGCCGTCAGTGTCAACTGGGTTTATGAATGCTCTCTCTCTCTCTCTCTCTCTCTCTCTCTCTCTCTCTCTCTCCCTCTCTTTCTCTCTCTCTCTCTCTCTCTCTCTCTCTCTCTCTCTCTCTCTCTCTCTCTCCCTCCTTCTCCTCTCTCTCTCTCTCTCTCTCTGTCTCTCGCTCGCTTGTGCTCTCTTGTCCTCTCTGTTCCGGGCCCCCGTTGGCTGTCTTTTATTTCCTGCCTTTCTCCATTTCTCTCTCCCTCCTTCTCTCTCTCTCTCTCTCTCTCTCTCTCTCTCTCTCTCTCTCTCTCTCTCCTTCTCTCCTTCTCTCTCTCTCTCTCTCTCTCTCTCTCTCTCCTTCTCTCCTTCTCTCCTTCTCTCTCTCTCTCTCTCTCTCTCTCTCCTTCTCTCTCTCTCTCTCTCTCTCTCTCCTTCTCTCTCTCTCTCTCTCTCTCTCTCTGTAGGAAAAGAATGCTCGTCCGCTCACTCTGTCAGGTCATGTTGGTTTTGACAGTCTGCCAGATCAACTGGTGAACAAGTCCGCGAGCCAGGGCTTCTGTTTCAACATCCTCTGTATTGGTGAGAGTAACAGCACATTATATTTAGTTTATTTATTATTATTCATATATATATATATATATATATATATATATATATATATATATATATATATATAGATATATATATATATATGGCTGTTGTCAGAAGAAAACCTTGTATCTCCAAATTAATAACTTTTCAGGAGAAGGAAAAAAACACACTTTACTTTTAATGTAAGTCAGTGGAACCAAAAAGTGATTTTGGTCCATTTCTTTCAGTTCATTCATCATGAAATTTACATACAACGTAAAGGTTAACACGTAGAATATATGAATATATACACACATAGCAGCGACACTGAGGTGTTTAAAAACCCCAGCAGCACTGCTGTGTCTGATCCACTCAGACCAGCGCAACACACACTAACACACCACCACCACGTCAGTGTTACTGCAGTGCTGAGAATGACCCACCACCCAAATAGTACCTGCTCTGTGAGGGTCCATGGGGGTCCTGACCACTGAAGAACAGGGTAAAAAGGGGCTAACAAAGTATCAGAGAAACAGATGGACTACAGTCTGTAACTGTAGAACTACAAAGTGCACCTATATAGTAAGTGGAGCTGATAAGATGGACAATGAGCGTAGAAACAAGGAGTTGGTCAGAATGTTATGCCTGATCGGTGTATGAGAGTAACAGCATATACATCGTAAATGTATTTACCCTGTACTTCATTTATATGTAGTGTAATATATATATTTCCTGTTGTTATCAGGGGAGACTGGTATTGGAAAGTCCACGCTAATGGACACTCTGTTCAACACCAATTTCGAGACCTTTGAGGCCTCCCACTTTGAGCCGAAGGTGAAGCTGAGAGCTCAGACGTACGATCTTCGAGAGAGCAGCGTCCGGTTAAAACTCACAGTGGTCAGCACCGTGGGCTTCGGAGACCAGATGAACAAGCAGGAAAGGCAAGATTAATCGATTGTGTTATTTTCAGTATGATTAATTGATTTGATTAGCTTTCATGGTACATTCCCAAGTGGCTTAACTGGATTTACTACTACTCCAACTGTTGTCCATTAAGCGTTTTTACCATTTAAAATGATAGTTTGACAGAAAATCAGTTATTAGGTGTACAGTAAACCCCCCCCCCATCACACGCTTACCCTAAACAATAAAGAAGAACAAAGGTTTTTGCGAATAATAGTAGAAGGAGATGTTGAAGCCTGAGTTGTCGACGTTCATAGACAACAGTATATCATACAGTGTGAGAAACTATATAATCTGAGGCCTGATCCCATTTCTAATTTTTACCCCAACCCGCTTGTTTTTGAGTGTCGCCCCCTGGAACTGAGTTACAAGGGGTAGTGGTTGAAATCTTGCACGTCCGCCATGTTGGAGAGGTCAAGATCCGCTTGTGAACAGATTCACTTGTACTGAGAGACGAAGAGTCTCAGGATTAAATCAGCCACAACTTCCTTATTACTCAACCGATTTTCACCAAATCTGTTTAGTTATAATCCTCAGACACAGATTAATCCAGGCTGCACGGATCTGCTCTCGGTAGCTTTATTACTTTAATAACTGATCGTGATAATCAGCCGCCCAGACCAGCAGGAAAGTATTCAGTCTGGACCTGACGATAAAAACCGAGTTTAGCGTGAGAAACACAATCAGACACTTCAGCAAATCCATCAGTGTGTGAATCACTTCTAATCTTAATACACATAAAATAAACCCCCAAAACACAGTAAGAAGGACGAAGCTAAAGTTGGCTTCCTATTCGCCAGCTTCTTGTTCGAATTTTCCCGTTTCACCTTAAATGGTACAGCTGGTAAATAAGAAGCCTCATGTAAGAAGGTGGTAACGTTAATCTATTATGAATATCTACACGGATTAAGGAATACTATAATTTACCTCTACAAAGCATCAACCATCACTGTAAATAAATAACTACTACATAAAGTTAAGGCCTCAGGCACCAGAACATAGATATACATGAATAAAAGGACCATAATACATTGAAACGAATGAAACTAAGATAATACAGTAGTTATTATAATTTATAACAGAGAAAATTCTCACATTTGTGGGTTTCTTTGGTCTCTTGTTCTCCATCTTGCCAGTTTTTCTTTTTTTCTCATATCACTCTGTTTGGAGTCTCTGAAAAACCTCCGTTTGGAGGGTCATGTAGCTCTAACACTTCGCCTTACCCCTCTGTCTCAACAAGAATCGGGACACCCTACCACTAGACGTGAACACGCAAAACAGAGGGGTAGGGCTGAGTGGTAGGGGCGAGGGGTGAAATGGGACTGGGCCAAATTCTGATAGAGATTACTTAACAACTCCACTGGGTTTGAGGCGAGCGTGTGATGATTTGGGCCTGCAGTTAGCACCGTGCTGTTTGTTGACATATTGTCCTGTACTTGTTACATTAGCCATGTAGCTCCAGTGCAACACTAAAGTACTTCAGACACCAAGCATGTCTGACTGCATTTTGTGTGGGAGAAAACTGGGAAAATTAGATTTTTTTTATATAAAATGTTTGTCGTCTTTTATGTTATTGTGCTTTTCACAGCTATCAGCACATTGTGGATTATATCGACACTCAGTTTGAGTCCTACCTGCAAGAGGAGCTGAAGATAAAGCGCTCGCTTCATAACCACCACGACTCCAGGATCCACGCATGCCTCTACTTCATCGCTCCGTCTGGTCACTCCCTCAAATCTCTGGACCTGGTAACCATGAAGAAGCTGGACAGTAAGGTTAGGCATTGGTTGGAGCTGCGACACTAGTTCTTTAAATGACCCCATCATGGTCTTTCACCCATTTATGATATATTTATAGTGTAATTTCGTTTCAAATATAATCTTTTAATTTTTTTTCTCACTTTGAGACAAATCTAGCTTTGAACTTTAAGACTAGTTAGGCTAACAGTAAGGCCAGTTACATATTTTTCACATCGTTTTCTGTTAATAACATTGTGAGCCAAATTTAAGATCTACAAACTGACCAAATCACTGGAGCAGCGCTTTTGGTTGGTGGACTATTCTCAGTCCAGCAGTGACACTGAGGTGTTTAAAAACTCCAGCAGCACTGCTGTGTCTGATCCACTCAGACCAGCACAACACACACTAACACACCACCACCATGTCAGTGTTACTGCAGTGCTGAGAATGATCCACCACCCAAATAGTACCTGCTCTGTGAGGGTCCATGGGGGTCCTGGCCACTGAAGAACAGGGTAAAAGGGGGTTAGAGAAACAGATGGACTACAGTCTGTAACTGTAGAACTACAAAGTGCACCTATATAGTAAGTGGAGCTGATAAAATGGACAATGAGCGTAGATAATGTCATAATGTCATGCCTGACCAGTGTATATAGATGTGTTCACTCTGGTTAGTGGGTTGGTGAGAGCGCTCTGGTCAGAGATCTTTTCAGAAAAATAGCATTTTTGCAAAAGTGCACAAGATAATTTTATTTGTTTGAGCTGTTTGAGCTTTCCTGTGGTTCTGCACTCAGAGCCTTGCACATCTGCCCGTATGACAGTATTGTCCCAAAGAGCTGGCACACACAAAACAGGAGCACCACCCACCAGCACTTAACTCTGAGGAGCTGCCTCAACGGTGGTCCAGTCGACTAGCATTACAGAGTATTTTTAATCCCAGAAAAGACTCAAACACAAAGCATTAAGGTGATGGTTCAAATTGACTCATTCCCCCTACCAAATATAGTCAGTCAGCCAAGGCATGTTTGGTGTTTGAAGTTTCTTCTTTAGTTTTAGTGCTGGAGCTATAAGGCTAATTTTGCTAACAAATAATTGTCCTTTGTAAATAATATGCTTCAGTCCACCTTTAGAGATAAGTGTGTCATGCAGTGTCTGAAACAACATAATTATGTCTATTAGAGATTAAACAGCTCCACGCAGAGTCCTCATAGGAAACTTTGTCCACTTGGCAGCCACGTTTGCAACGCCACTGGGCAGTTATTTCCAGGCATACAAGACCAGACTCGTGTCTCTTCGAACAGGAAGAGACCAAAATACTCAAAACTGACGGTAAAATGACCATTTTATAAACAAATTTGAAATCGCTGATAAAAATCTGACAAAAACCTCATAATTAGTTTGTATGTAACGCTTTGACAGAAACCAGACGCTCGCGGATTAAAAAGATCACAGCAGTTTTGATCACACAAGGCAAAAACGTGGTCGAGTAATAGGTGAGGGTCAAGTTCAAAAAACACAAATGAAAGGTGAGCATAACACCAAGCGAACAAACCAATGAGGCCAGGGCAAAAACGTGATCCAAATAACAGGCAAAAGGGTTCAAAAACACAGATCAGTCGAGACAGGCAAACGTATCAGAAGGGACAGGCAAAAAGGCAGAATCCAGATAAACAAAGCAGTGGTCAGAAACTGAATACCGGTAATCAGAATACAAACGCTCAGTAGTTCACAGGGAAACAATACCTCACAACTATCCTACCTAAAGCCCCGGCTTTTAAACTAAACAACACGAGTCATATGACCAAATACACAGGTGCTACACATTAGTATTCAGGGGATTGAGATCTCTGATAGGAGCGCGTCCGCGAGTCAGAGATCACGTGAGTTCCCCGAGAACTCTGGGTAATGGAGTCCGTGTCTTCCTCCAACTCTGAAGGAAGTTGTGCAGTGACGTGATCTCCCGTGGGATTCTGGGAGATGGAGGCCGTTTTGTTTTGACAGCTTGCCGAATGCGTGACGTAGCGTTTGGCTCAATAACGCACATAAACATTGGCATAACCAGCAAGCTGACGCTTTTTCTTGAAGGACAGGACTTTCTTGGCAAACAAACATCATGTTAAGCGTTACAAGTTTTCCCACTCATATTTTAACCAGTGACCGTCTCCTCCTTTATAACATCTCTGGTTTGCATTACTGGTTAGCTACATTACCCTCATAGCTCCAGTGCTAAAACTAAAGAAGCTGATCAGATACATTCAGGACGCAAAACTGGGTAAATCTGATTTTTTGCAATTTAGTCTTTTAATAGTTTAGCTTGGTGTGGAGAGAGGTGCATTTTGGCCTAAAACTAGCAGGTGATGTTATTATTTGTTATTACTGTTTGTCTCGGCCTCATCAGTTTGACAGAATTCACAAATTTACATCCTGTTCATGTTTTCATTTGCGCACAGTTCTCCCACTACAAAACCCAGCATGCATTGTGCTAATACTACAGTATATACACAGCCATTGGGATCAGCTATAAAGAAATCCACTGATGTAGCAGCTAATAAATACAGATGTGGTTTTTGGCCTCCTTGCAGTAACGTTAGCTTTCCAGCTTCCTTTTGCAATTGCAAAAAAATAAAAAGGAATAAATACAAAAAATAAATTTCTTACAGCCCATAAAGTTCTTGTATTTTCCAGTATTTCCTGCTACCATCGAGATGCCTCACCACAAGGGGCTTTTCCTAGTTTTTAACCTGAAAATCTCACTGAAATGACAACTGTGGCCCCACAGAGGCAAGTAGGCATGTTTACAACAGATGGTTAATTCTTTTATTTAAGCAGAGATGGGCAGTGAAGAACATGACCTTGCTCACAGGCTGTGGACCAGAGGTCACTAATAGGCGGACCGCGGTCCGAGTCCGGACCCAGACCCTGTCCTATAACCGATAAACTAAGGAGAATTATTTAATTTCGACCGGGTGGTCCTATTTTAACCGGCGTAACTTTTCTAGCCTTTACGGTAACGGTTTAGCGGCCGGGGAGACTCACAGACCAATCGCGTGCGTTGTAAACGCTACTCAGCCAATCATATCTGTGCATTACAATGAGCACTGAGAGTCAAGTGAGTGACGCACACACGGGGGAGGGACGAGGCGAGAAACAGCAGTCGGAGAAGAAAGTCAGTCAGAGGGAAGTTATTTCACACGGCGTGATCTAAAAAGAGAAGACTGACAATAAATGTTGTTGAAATATGACTGAATTGTACTTTATTTGATTTGACATTCAGTTGTTGACTGTATAAGATGTTGATATACCTACTAGGCAACTTCAGTAAACAGTATATGGCACTGAATCATGATGCAGGTTAGACATTATGATGTTCTGGACCTTTGCTTGAGGAAACTTTCTCTAACTGGACCTTACTGAATTTTAATTAAAGACCCCTGCTGTAGACTGTTTAATGGTAGTGTGTGTAATGGTAGTGTGTTGACCGTATGTGCTGTCCGCTCTTGCAGGTGAACATCATTCCGGTCATCGCTAAAGCAGACACCATCTCCAAGAGCGAGCTTCACAAATTCAAGATTAAGATCATGAGCGAGCTGGTCAGCAACGGCGTCCAGATCTACCAGTTTCCAGTCGACGACGAGAGTGTGGCAAAGATCAACACCACCATGAATGTATGCCACCAGAACCTTACTGCCCTAAAACCACAGATGTACACAGTTGTAGCCCAAATGTAGTTGATCAGCCAAGACATGTTTGGTGTCTGAAGTTTGCTTCCTTAATGTTATTTGAACGCTGCCAGCTGCATGGCTACATCATCACATGCTCACCTCAAACTGGCAAATACATTCTGTGGTTTCTGACACTCAGTGTCTGTGTTTACATGCAAAGATTTTCTCCAGTCTGATTGAACACATTCCAATTACAGATTTAGACTGAGGTGTTTATTCTCACTCTACTCAACAATTTGATGAAAATCTCTGTTTACATGCTCACTACAAGTAACCCAATCCCAAATGACATGCATGTGATGAAAACCGCTTAGTGTAGATGTTACCATGACAACCAGCATCACGTGAGTCCAGTCAGAGTGAGATGAGCAGCAGTGAGCAGTGCTTGTGTTTATAATTGCTTTAAAATGATGTCAGACTCAGGAAAACGTCCTTCACGTGTCCTTATTAAAGAAGGCCGAGAGGAAGACGTCGTGTTCTGAGACACACAAGCTGGACGTCCGTCCCACCGCCGTCTTTTAAAGATCGGAGCATAAACTTCGTCTCCTCTGCAGACCAGTTTCTGCTCTGCCATGTTGAACGGTATAAACTTTCACTATGATGCGACGAACATGATCAGAACGTACTTAAACTTTCCGATAGGGAATGTAATCAGATACAGGCGTTTACACGGATATTATTCTTCTATTTAACTGATTGTTTACAGGATTACCCACCTCGATCAGTCGGATAGACACTGTATTCCGAATGGCCTCAATCGGACTAGTCTAGTGTTTACATGGATGTAATCTATTCCAACTGAGCTATTAGTCGGATTATTAACGGATTATTAGGCTGCATGTAAACGTGGCTTATGATGTTATCTGTGTATCTATGTTATAACTGTTATCTGTTAACATTGACAAAAGTATATAGAGCTTAAGTAAAAAAAGAAGCTGTAGCATCTTAAAGCCTGAATTTTGTCCATGTTTTGGCTGATATCAGCTACATTTGGGGTAAATATTATATAAAGTTGAATAAAATCTTGTTGATTTAGTTTATATGTTGTTGTCGCTGTTGCTGCTGTAGGGTCACCTGCCCTTTGCTGTTGTCGGGAGCACAGAGGAGGTGAACATTGGGAATAAAATGGTGAAGGCCCGTCAGTACCCCTGGGGCGTGGTGCAAGGTGAGAGCTCTCCAGTTATGTTTAAACCGAGACGTGGTGATATTTTACAATGTTCCTCACTTTTTAAAATTAAAGTACAATGTAGAAAAAGATTCAGGGTTTTTTTTTAGTAAAAAAAAAATATATATAGAACCATGTATATAGAACCATGAACACTCAAAGAACCCTTTGCATGGTGAAAGTGTCTTTCAGATTCATGGATAATGTGCTGAAGGTGGTTCTATACAGAGCCTTTTTGAAAAGGGTTCTGTATAGCACCAAAAAGGGTTCTTCTGTTGTAACAAGCTAGACATAGTAACCATTTACCAGAACGCTTTTTGGTGCTATATAGAACTCTTTTCAAAATGTAGATCCATTTACAGCACATTATCTATCAATTTGAAGAAGAACCATTTAATGATGCCAAGAAACCTTTAATCAAGGGTTCTTTGAGTGTTCATAGTTCTAAATAGCACCATTTTCTTTACTATAGAACCATTAAAAACCATTCATTATTCAAAAATAGCTGAGGGAAATCATAAGGTTTTTTGCTGGATTAGTAACATAACAAAGACTCTTCAGTTAATGAGCTAAACTACAGCAAACCGCTAACGCTGGATGCTGACGGAGATTCATTGCTTTCTGCAGGTGTTTCTTCCTCTTCAGTGGACGATGTGCCAACATGTTTTTGTCAGATAAATATACTTTAACAGTTTCTGTAACAACATCATCCAGAATACTTACTGTGGTTAGTTTTACAGCAGTGCCTCTCTAACTTCTCACAAAAAATGGGCTTCCGAAATGAGAGCTCAAAAAATTATTAAAAGCTCCAGAGAAATTGAGACTCCTAACAACCACCTGGAAGAGCTGGTCGACCCCAAAACTGCCCCCATCAGATAAACAGCACTTAAAGCTTTCATCTCTGAGAGAGAGGAGAAAATCAAGCTGCTTCAGATCTGAAAACATCCACAGGTGTTTCTGTCCATCCTTCCACTGTGAGAAGACGACTCAGCGCTGTGGGTCTGAAAGGATGTGTAGCTGTCAAGAAGAACCTCACTGAGAAAAGGAGACGGACACATCAAACAAAGAAGCTGAACGATGGACTGACCACCCCAGAGTCCAGACCTCAACACCACTAGCCACGTTTACATGCAGCCTGATAATCCGTTAATAATCCGACTAATAGCTCAATCGGAATAGAATACGTCCATGTAAACACCTCAATCAGAATAGACTAGTCCGATTGAGGCCATTCGGAATACAGTTTGTATCCGACTGATCGAGGTGGGTAATCCTGTAAATAATCCGTTAAATAGAAGAATAATATCCGTGTAAAGCCTGTATCTGATTACATTCCCTATCGGAAAGTTTAAGTCCGTTCTGATCATGTTCGTCGCGTCATAGTGAAAGTTTATACCGTTCAACATGGCGGAGCAGAAACTGGTCTGCAGAGGAGACGAAGTTTATGCTCTGATCTTTAAAAGACGGCGGTGGGACGGACGTCCAGCTTATGTGTCTCAGAACACGACGTCTTCCTCTCGGCCTTCTTTAATAAGGACATGTGAAGGACGTTTTCCTGAGTCTGACATCATTTTAAAGCAATTATAAACACAAGCACTGCTCACTGCTGCTTGTCTCACTCTGACTGGACCCACGTGATGCTGGTTGTCATGGTAACGTCTACACTAAGCGGTTCTCTACTTGTAGTGAGGATGTAAACAGAGATTTTCCATCAGATTGTTGAGTAGAGTGAGCATATAAACACCTCAGTCTAAGGCCCAGTCCCATTTCACCCTTCGCCCCTACCACTTAGCCCTTAGCTTTCTGTTTTGTGCTTTCACGTCACGTTCACATGTAGGGTGTCCCAATTCTGGTTGAGATAGAGGGGTAGGGTGAAGTGTTGGGGCTACATGACCCTTCAAACTGAGGTTTTTCAGAGACTCCAAACAGAGAGATATGAGGAAAAAAAGAAAAACCGGCAAGACGGAGAACAAGAGACCAAAGAAACCCGACAAATGTGAGAATTTTGTCCGTAAAAAATTACGATAACCATCATAATATCTTAATGTAGTTTCAGTGTATTTTGGTCGTTTTCTTCATACAAAAAAAAAATGCTAATAGCATGCTAATGTCTCGGTAGCTAGCTAACTTTCCCGTTCCACCTTAAATAGTGCAGCAGTTCTGACACCTGAAGCACCAGAATGTAACTGCTGCACCATTTAAGGTGGAACGGGAAAATTTGAACAAGAAGCTGGAGAATATCTAACTTCAGCTTCATATCACTGAAGAATTAGGGGTGGGTGATAATAAATAATTGCCCCCCTCTTTGAAGGCATATGATGCCCTAAATGTAACTAAAGCCCAGCAGTGAGGAGCTGAACTTTACCCTCCTCTGCTGTCACTGCAGACTGGCAGGGTCGCCTACAGAGCAGCGCTGGTAGCTGTTAATGAAGTGATGCTCTTTTTATTTCAGAGAGGAAGATTTCAACCACTACCCTGCAACTCAGTTCCAAGGGGTTAGGGTGACACTCGAAAACGAGGGGTAGGGGTGAAAAGAAGAAATGGGACTGGGCCTAAATCTGTAATTTGCATGTACTCAATTGGATTGGAGAAAATCTTTGCATGTAAACAGACAGTGAATGTGTTTACTTGGTTTGTGAGAAGCAGAAAAACTTTGGAGGTGTGGAAAAATATCCCTCCAGCTGTCTGATGTGAATCTGATATTATTTAGTTGAGGGTTCTGTGCGATGCTGTAAAATGAGCACCTGAAGTAGTTAATGAAATGACTGTGGTGTCTGTCTTTGTCACAGTGCTGTATGTATTGAGCAGTGAAGCTTCATAACGCTGTGTGTTTGTATCACTGTCTGTGTTTTTCAGTGGAGAACGAGACTCACTGTGATTTCGTGAAACTGAGGGAGATGCTGATCTGTGTGAACATGGAGGACCTGCGAGAACAAACACACACCCGGCACTACGAGCTCTACAGACGCTGTCAGCTGGAGGAGATGGGCTTTAAGGACACGGACTCAGAGTCCAAACCAGTCAGGTACCGGCACAGTCTTTCCCATCAGTCACCGGTCAATCTCTGAGGTCTCTCCTTTGTATGATCAGTGCCTCTGTTCAGTCTTCCCTGTAAACCCGTCCTAATTCTATCCTAAACCCAGACTAGAGTCTTCGAGTCTTGGTTCCACTCAGGGCTTCTTCCTCATGCTCTTAGAGAGTTTCTCTTTTTGAGTCTTGGTTTCACTCAGTGGTTCTTCATCACACTCTCAGTTAAGTTCTCCTTTGAGTCTTGGTTCCTCTGAGTGGTTCTTCATGCTCTTAGGGAGTTTCTCCTTTTGAGTGGTTCTTCCTCATGCTCTTAGGGAGTTTCTCCTTTTGAGTCTTGGTTCCTCTCAGTGGTTCTTCATGCTCTTAGGGAGTTTCTCCTTTTGAGTCTTGGTTCCTCTCAGTGGTTCTTCTTCATGCTCTTAGGGAGTTTCTCCTTTGAGTCTTGGTTCATCTCAGTGGTTCTTCATCACACTCTCAGTTAAGTTCTCCTTTGAGTCTTGATTCCTCTCAGTGGTTCTTCTTCATGCTCTTAGGGAGTTTCTCCTTTGAGTCTCGGTTCCTCTCTGTGGTTCTTCATGCTCTTAGAGAGTTTCTCCTTTTGAGTCTTGGTTCCTCTCAGTGGTTCTTCATCACACTCTCAGTTAAGTTCTCCTTTTGAGTCTTGGTTCCCTCTCAGTGGTTCTTCATCACACTCTCAGTTAAGTTCTCCTTTGAGTCTTGGTTCCTCTCAGTGGTTCTTCTTCATGTTCTTAGGGAGTTTCTCCCTCAGCGATGTTCATTAGGGGGCTGTACCTGTATTTCTGGATTAAAGCTGCTTTGTAACAGTGACGTTTGGAGAAGGAGCTGTACAGTTCAAATTGAATGAACTGCCCTCTCTATGCTCCACCCACAAATCCATTGGTCTGTAGGTACGTTAGTGAGGTTGGGGTTTAGATTCCCTACATAAATTTGGGTTCATAGTTCCTGATGATTCTGGACGGCGCTGATGATTTTTTTGCTTCCATGCTAATGCTAACACAAAAACCCCACCCCAGTCTGTCCTGCACATACAGAATACATACCATTCTGTAAATCTTGTCCAACCTTGCAGTGATTATGAGAAGACTGCAGTTGTCTGTGGAGCTGGAAATTGGAAATTGGACTGAATAGACTGAAGAACCTTCTCTTCAAGCATATATTCAATTATATAAGTATCCGGGTCGCATTTATCCCTAATTCAGCCGTCTGCTTCCCGTGTATAACATTTGCGAGTCGAGAGCACAAGCTAGTCCAGCTGTAAAGCTTGGGAATTTTTGATCTGACCTCGTTCCTCAGGACATTCCCTGTGCTTTTCAAACCCACTTCCAAAAACACTGCTGTGATGTCTGAGTTGGAAACCAGCCATTGATTTCTCCACAAACTGGACGCTGTATAGAGTAATTTCATTAAGTCCTGTACTGTATAGTTAACATTCTTTTGAAGCAAATTTTCTGTCAGTAAATGAAGAAAATATTGAAATGCCTCCAAAATGCCTCTTCTTACATTTTATTTCATTATTTTTGACTCATTAAAACAGAAAAATTGTGTGGGAAGAGCGGATTATAAACGTTAAGAATATATAACGAGAAGAGATGTTTTATGATTTGAATTTGATGAATAGTTATTGTTGTGATTGTGTGTACAGTCTAATTTTGTGAGAAGAATTCATTTAAATGTGAATTTATTTTCATTAGAAATAAACAGAAGTGTGCAGTATAATGAAATATGTTCGTATTCTTAGCTATATGCCAATATATGCAGTTTCACAGTTGCATAAAAAATACAAAACAGCAACAGTACAAAAAGTTTGCAGACGTTATTTGCAATGTACAAAATATGTAATATAAATATATAGATAATATACAGTGCAATGTGTATGTCTGAAGTGTTATGACGGGAGGTCAGACAGAAAAAGTTTGTTTACATTTTTACCATTTGAAACAAAAAAACAAAACTGTCAATGTAAATTGCATGTAAATATAATCTATTACTGTGTAATTATATAATTGCATTTCATTTATTATGTAATGTAAATTGAATGTATAGCAAACTGACAGTAAAAATGACTCTGGACACGTCTGAGGGTTTGTGTGTTTGTGTGTTGTAGTCTTCAGCAGACGTACGAACTGAAGCGTCAGGAGTTTCTGGCTGAGCTGCAGAGGAGAGAAGAGGAGATGAAGCAGACCTTCGTTCAGCGAGTGAAGGAGAAGGAGGCGGAGCTAAAAGAAGCTGAGAAAGAGGTAAAAAATAAAACGTTTTCTTTGTCCTCCCCATTTTGCCTCTGGTATTGGGTGAAGCTTTTTGCTTTGGAGGGCTCCTCTCTGGTGCACTTTCTATTTCATTTCAATATCAGTAACAGTCAGTATGAAGAAAGACTCGTTTTCCCTTTACTGTCACTGTCAGACACCCCAGTGTTTTCAAGCGTGCTTGAAATTCTCAGTTATGAATCGTACGTCCGGTAAGAACAGCGAGGAGCTGTAGCTGATGACTGTAAGAGAAAACTCTCGGGGGGGCGAGGCTCAAGAAGAAGGGGTTATTAGAAAGAGGGTCCGGGAATATTGAGCGCTGCTACAATTGCTCTGGAACGGTTAGGAGCAGCTTCAAAATCAGTATGAAAATCTCTTTTCTACCCAAATTAGTGCACAAACAGCAACTACAGCCTCGTTTGTGATGAGCTGTGTGGTCCATGATCACAAGTGACCGACGTTCAGCCCCGCCTATACAGCCTACTGTCCCCGCCTATATAGCCCCGCCTATACAGCCTACCGTCGTTCAGCCTATACAGCCTACCGACGTTCAGCCCCGCCTATACAGCCTACAGACGTTTAGCCCCGCCTATCCAGCCTACTGATGTTTAGCCCCGCCTATACAGCCTACCGACGTTTAGCCCCGCCTATACAGCCTACCGACGTTCAGTCCCGCCTATACAGCCTACCGACGTTCAGCCCCGCCTATACAGCCTACCGACGTTCAGTCCCGCCTATACAGCCTACCGACGTTCAGCCCCGCCTGTACAGCCTACCGACGTTCAGCCCCGCCTGTACAGCCTACCGACGTTCAGCCCCGCCTGTACAGCCTACCGACGTTCAGCCCCGCCTGTACAGTCTACCGACGTTCAGCCCCGCCTGTACAGTCTACCGACGTTCAGCCCCGCCTATACAGCCTACCGACGTTCAGGACCACCTGTACAGCCTACCGACGTTCAGCCCCGCCTGTACAGCCTACCGACGTTTAGCCCCGCCTATAAGGCCTACTGATGTTTAGCCCCGCCTGTACAGCCTACTGATGTTTAGCCCCAGCCTACACAGTCTACAGACATTTATCCCTGTTCCAAATCTTCTTAAAGTATGAGGCTTCAGGAACAACCTGACTTTCTACTTTTATTTAGTAAGCACACAAAAAACTTTGCTTAATTTTCACACACATATAGGAAAAGAATGGCTGATATTATTTTTCCAGATTTGTTGCTGAATTCCGGCCTGTTTATTTTCCCATGTGCCTGTGGTGCCCCCTGCTGGTCACACTGACAGCTGCATGCCAGGTATGAGCAGCTGAAGCGGCTGCATACGGAGGAGAAGAGTGCGCTGGAGGAGAAGAGGAGGATGCTGGAGGAGGAAATGAGCTTCTTCAGCAAACGCAAAGCCGCAGCCGAACTGCTAAACTCTCAGTCGCTCAACAGCAAAAAGGACAAAGACCGCAAGAAGTGAGTATGACCGCTTAGTCTGTTTCTAGTAGGTGTGCCATTCACCCCTCAGAAGTGTCTTTTTGCTATACAGTTAAAGTGGAATTCCACCAATTTTTCAAAACCAACAATTTTTCTAGCACTATCCAAAACCACCAGTGAACCTACACATACACACGTAACATTAGCATGGTGCTGATTTGTTATTGTTTCCAACATAGCTACTACAACACAGTCTAGCTTGGTAGCACAGCAAACAAAGTTCTCTACAGTTTCTCATTAGGCTGAATGAATAACTGACGCTAAATGTAGGTATTGTGATATAAACTGAGTCTGTTCTACAGTTTCTCATCAGGCTGAATGAATAACTGACTCTAAATGTAGGTATTGTGATATAAACTGAGTCTGTTCTACAGTTTCTCATTAGGCTGAATGAACAACCGACTCTAAATGTAGGTATTGTGATATAAACTGAGTCTGTTCTACAGTTTCTCATTAGGCTGAATGATTTTCATGTTGTGATTGTATAGTGTATCGCGCATTTAGTTATCGTGATGTTACATATTTTACTTTTTTTCAGTGCTGGATTCCTGTGAAGAACCAAAAAAGGCCATTTTAATATCCTGCCATGGACCACAATAAGCTACGTAATTAAATTGATGCATGTTGGTATTTTATTTGTAGTATTACAGCAATGCAGGCTGAAATACATCAGTATTGATATAGTATTGCCGCTACTGGTGGAGTATTTTTGTTTTATCTGTTTATGTCATATATGGAGTTTTCTTATCAGCTTATTTTTAAGAAAATGCTCTATTCTTTCACTCATGCCTAGAATACTAACCAGTTTTGATATCTACACTACTTCAAAAATGGCCTTTTTATGGTTAATTTTTGTCAAAACAGCTTCTGCACATTTTATTAGCAATTATTCACCAAGAACCAGCTAGAAATAGGCCTTTATTACACATCACACATTTCAGGTTTGTAATTGGAAAACTGTATTAATGAAACATTGGTCTGACCTGACATTTATTTAAAAAGTATTATTTTATTAACAAATAAAAGTGTTGTACTTTTCATACATTGCATTTGTGTTATTAAGAGTAATGAGTAGAAAATGTGTAAAATGTTTGAAAATTAGCCAGTCAAGTCAGACCAGCATCTTAACACTAGATGGCGCCAAATCATAAGTTATTGTCCGTGCCTAGGTCTGATTAACCCACATACTGTCTGTACAAAAACCTTTGTAGCGGAAGGCAGGAGGCCTGCTGTGAAATGGTTTGGGTTCGTGGGATCGATAGCAGCGTGCCATCTTAAATTTCACCATCACAAACTGGTTCAGGATTAAACCATTAGCCTCGGCGGCGGAGGTGTGGGTGATGGTTTGGAGCGTAAGCAAATGGCTTTTGGAGGGCGCTGATTAAATAAAGTGTGGGCGCTTAGTTCCCGGAATCCTCTGTACCTGAGAAACAGGGTCTCCGACAGCTTTCTATGAAACAATAAAGATGAAGCAGAATGAGGTAACGCTCCACACAGGTCTCTGATTGGTTGCTAGGGCAACAGGAGCGAGAGCGGCGAGATTTCGGAGCTGGTGGGAGGTAAACAGGTCGACACTGGAATTCAGTGTACACTTCTCAAATGAGCAAATGAGGCGGTGCTGACTGGTTGGCTTTCAACTGCACGACTCCGAGTCTTCTGGAGTCGACTCATCTCTCGACTCCTGCCACTCAAATCGAAGGAGTCGACACCTTGACTCCGTTTAAAACAGACAGCTTCAGGTCTAACAAAGGGCTACAGCAGGGAATAGCTCTGATCTCTTGGCCAGACTGGTCTACCAGCTCTGGTTAGCTGGCCAAGCTGGTTATTCAGCTCTGAGGAGCTGAAAAAAAGCTGGTCTACCAGTTCTAACCAGCTGGCCATGATGGTCATCCAGCTGCAACCAGCTTAACAGATATGGTCAACCAGCTAAACCAGCTTGACTAAGGTGGTCAACCAGCTAAACTAGCTTCAGACCAGCTTGGCCAAGGTGGTCAACCAAATAAACTAGCTCCAGACCAGCTTGACCAAGGTGGTCAACCAGCTAAACCAGCTTTAGACCAGCTTGACCAAGGTGGTCAACCAGCTAAACCAGCTTTAAGCCAGCTTGACCAAGGTGGTCAGCCAGCTAAACTAGCTTCAGACCAGCTTGGCCAAGGTGGTCAACCAGCTAAACTAGCTTCAGACCAGCTTGACCAAGGTGGTCAACCAGCTAAACTTGCTTCAGACCAGCTTGACCAAGGTGGTCAGCCAGGTAAACTAGCTCCAGACCAGCTTGACCAAGGTGGTCAACCAGCTAAACTAGCTTCAGACCAGCTTGGCCAAGGTGGTCAACTAGCTAAACTAGCTTCAGACCAGCTTGACCAAGGTAGTCAACCAGCTAAACTAGCTTCAGACCAGCTTGGCCAAGGTGGTCAACCAGCTAAACTAGCTTCAGACCAGCTTGGCCAAGGTGGTCAACCAGCTAAACTAGCTTCAGACCAGCTTGACCAAGGTGGTCAACCAGCTAAGAATTTAGGCTGGTTTTCCCAGTAGGAGAAACCATCCTAAACATAGTTTAGCCAGTTTTTGAGCAGCTACAGATTAAAGCATTATGATGAAAATTCATAATTATGCGAAGTTATATCAGGCAGCTTTACAAATGATTCCAGCTAATTAATGTTTCAACACATCTCACCATCAGAATTCAGATCATTTCACATGACGAGGCTGAAGGGAGCTCGAGCTTCAAGACTAGTGATGTGCTGACAAAATCATAATTCTGTAATAAAATAAACCACTATTCACAAATTGAATGGTAGCCAGTAGCTGCCAGTTAGCTTGAAGTAAGTTGTTCAATTCTATGCGCCTTAGCTACGTTTACATTACAAGCCTCGTTGCTCAAATCTGATTTTTTGCTCAAATCCGATCTCTCTGACTCGATGGTTCACACTCGTTTAGGTAAGAGACTCAAATCTGTCATTAATGTGACGAACCGGCGTCCTGAAATGACCCTCATGAGCTCATCCTACTCAGTAACGTCACGTGAATGAATCACGGTCATCATCAGCACAAACTAACGAGCAGAACGAGCTTCGCTGAGAAGATCATTAACTCTGATCAGCTCTCAGCTTCATTATTAGAGCGAGACGAAGGAGAAAAAGGGGAGATGAGCTGCTTTTCCACCGTTTACTGGCTTTAACTTCTGTTCGGCGCTGTTGCCATGGTAACGCTGAATGATGCCGCACACGCAGTGGAAAAAAAGCACATGAATTCCGATCTGAGCGTCACATTAAGGTCACATGGCCACAAATCGGATACGTATCCGATCTAGGACCACATATGAAAGTGGCTCAGGTTGGACTTGAAAAGATCAGATTTGTGTCCACACAGCCCTGAAAACATCAGATCTGAGTCACATTAGGGCAAAAAATCTGATTTGTGCCACTTCAGCCTGGTAATGTGAACGTAGCCTTACATTCACTGCTACTTCAACATTATTGACTGAACTGTTACTTCAAGCTTGATAACATCCTGCCATCTGATTTATTCCAGGTGCCAATGTTACACTGTAGTGTTCACTGTTATTAGAAGAGACAGTTTGTGCACAAGTTGTGGTGCTTTATAAACCAGCTGTTTTTGGCCACAGTTACGCCGTACAAGAGCAGTTTTCTCCAACAGTTCACTCTAAGCTTAAGCTACGCTTTATTCTCTCAGTCTTCAGCTCTTAACAGATGCAGTTCTTCCTTCTCTAACATGTAAGAAAGAAACTAGCTAAGAGTCCTTATCAGAATAAACAGTGAATAAACGCTAAAGAACTAATAATCTAAACTAGCACGTCAAAACATTTCTTGAACACGTTACAATACATTTTTTAAAGCTTCTGCTGTAGCCTCTTCAACTTCAACTCAAAACGCACTTCGCCAGATTCTTCATAACTTCCATATTTCATAAGCTACATTCTAAAGGTGGGGGTCGTATGAGAGCTGTAACTGTCTTCTTTCCAGTCAAATAGATGGGTGATGTAATTTTAAACCCTTATAATAAAAGAAGCTGAACTCACTATTTGTTTTCTACTGAAAGTCGACCCATTTTTCCACAAATCTGGGCTATAAACTATAAACAGATGGCGTCTCTTCAGTGATCTGCTCTGTAAAAATTATTTTAATAAAATAATACAAAGAGCGTCTAAGATTTTTGGCTTTCAGCAGTAAATTGTAAGCATATAGCGACATGTGTGATCATAAAACACATGTTCTGTTAATTTGAGGGGAGCTTTTACAAACAATCAATAAATACATAAAATAAAAATGTACATTTATTTCATGCAGTTACTGAATAATTTGCCTTATGATTTGGTCATGTAAATTCAGATGGACACACCAAAATATACCCTGGAGGATAAGAGGTTAAAATACAATACAATAAAGTGAAACGTTGCCCTTTGCATTGCTTTTTTCATGATTTCAGACTTTAATAGACGAACCTCAGTGCTGGAGAGGTTTGTCTAAGCCGGTAGGTCTGTAGGTCTGTAGGCGAGAGTGAGTGGGAAATATGCTACAGCGCTGAATTTCCTTGGATGACCGTAAAGTGGAGGCACGAAGTCATTCGAAGTCCCTTAACTCACTGATCACTTCTACAACATTCATGCCTTTACAGTAGCGCTGTGTTGCCGTTGCTGTAGGAGATTAAATAGTTGTAATATCTGCTGGTATTTGACACCTTCTTGCAATAAACAGCAGCCAGAAAAACTGTCAATCAACTGCAGAGAAACTTGATATTTTGGCTAAAAATAAAAATCAAACCCAGTTTCCTCCTCTTTAACCCAAATGTCGTCGATCAGCCAAGTCATGTTTGGTGTCTGACATGTGCTTCTTTAGTTTAATGTAGCTAACAAGTAATGGAAGCATAAGCACACAAATTAGCATGGTGCTAACTGCATGCCTACATCACTCACTGACTCAAGCTTTTACCTGATTATCTGCTTTCTGACGCTGTGTGTGCTACAAAACTGGTATCTGGGCAAGTAAATGATCTTAAATCTAGATTTGTATAATATTTCTCATTTCGAAATTGTTGTAAGCTGATTCAACAATTATTAAACATCATTTCCAGGTCAATTATCCCATAATATTGTCAGATAATTTTGCTTGTTGTAAGAAATATGCTTGAAATATTAACTTAGACATAATATTAACTTTAATTATTATATATACTTAATATTTTATAATATCTTAAGTTCATACTAAACTCGACTTTATTAATGCTAACTTACTAAATGAATGCTAACATAATGCAGACCTATGGACTTTTATTCTAACTCGCTAACTTTATTAATGCTCTTATGAACTTTATTAATACAAATTTATTAATTTGTATTAATGCTAACTTATTTATGCTTACTTATGAATTTTATTAATGTTATTAACTTTATTACTGTATGGACTTTATTAATGATAACTTTATTAAGGCTAACTTATTAATGTAAACTTTATTTTTTTTTATGAACTTCATTCTAACTTGCCAACTTTACTGATGCAAACTAATTTTATTAATGTTTACTATTATTAACTATTATAAAATGAAATATCTAGTACTGTGATGTGTTTATAAAGTGTGATTCTGAGTTTAAAGATGTTTTATGTGACACACTTTAGTCCACGTTTATAGAGAACAGAATGTCATACAGTCTCAGAAAATCACATAATCAAATCAAAATTTGATATTTTTCCAAATTTCAGCTTTTATGGATTATTATTTGTTGTGGGTCAGTTAGCTTTGTGTCCAAATATCAAAGAACTGCTGCGTTTATTTAGCAGCACACATGGAATTTCTCACTTTAAGGCGAGGAGCCTCATTGGCCGCCAGGGTCCCGAGGAAGAGTCATCTGCATTTGCATTTAGATAGATGGGAGACGACGGTCTTCCAGAGCGACTATTCCCGGGAACGTACGCCACGGAAATTGGTTTGTCACTCGGGTCTGCAGCTGAAGATTTGAAATTTCCAATTACAAACTGGGATACTGTACAGAGTGACCAGGAGAGGAAAGTAAACAATACAGTGA